AAACAATTTTCATTCAGAACATCGCTAAAGCAATCACGAAAAGCAAGATTCAACCCGAATTCGAGACATTGGAAGGGGAATTCGCTTTGAAACTTTTACTCTGCGATTCGAAGACCGAGCCGCTGGTCACTGGTGAAATTTTAAGCCCTAAAAATCTCAACAAATAACTGTTTTCTTGTCTTGAATTTAAAAAATACTGTTTTTCAGCTTTGTGTTAATCCCCTGAAAAGCTAAGCCTTGTTTCTTCACAGAAACTTGATTTTTCTGTTTGATTCTTGATTCTAATTCTAAGCATAAGCCTAAAAAAATGGTAAAACCGACTTTTCATAACTCAACTTCTAGACATGTCCGCGAACTGAAATTTTGCAAGGATACTCCCCTTGGGTTCCAAAGCACAAAGGCAATTGCTTGTCCCGAGCTCTGGCTGAGGTCCAGAATATGGGGATTCAACCCAAACTCAAATAAACTTAGTGCCAGGCGCTAGCCGCTAACCTTCGCACTAAGCCTAAGCCTAAGCCTAAGCCTAACCCCAAGCCTGAGCCTAAGCTTACAGCCTAAGCCTGAGCCTAAGCCTAAGCCTACAGCCTAAGCCTAAAGCCTAAGCCTAAGCCTAAAGCCTAAGCCTAAGCCTAAAGCCTAAGCCTAAAGCCTAAGCCTAAGCCTAAAGCCTAAGCCTAAAGCCTAAGCCTAAGCCTAAGCCTAAAGCCTGAGCCTAAGCCTACAGCCTAAGCCTAAAGCCTAAGCCTAAGCCTAAGCCTAAGCCTAAGCCTAAGCCTAAGCCTAAGCCTAAGCCAAAGCCTAAGCCTAAGCCTAAGCCAATCTTCTTTTAAAAAATCTTTCAAATTGATATTTCTTTATTAATTTGTAGACTTTTTACAGAATTTTTTGAAAAACACGGTCACCGGGGACCCTTCGAATTGGATATTTATGCGACAGAATGGAGTAAATCACCGGAATTGCTTGTGCACACATTGAAGGTGAAATTTGAGTGAAATTTCTATGAAATTCCATATAGAATTAGAACTCAAATTAATATTTATATTCAAATTTACATTTCAAACTCAAATTTACATAAAGAATCTCAATTACAAATGTGAAATTTGTTGATTTGAATTGTTTTAACGCCAAGAAAAGCCTTTTTAATCGTTTTGATTCAATTTGGTAAAACTCTAGCATAAATAAAGAGCTAAAAAGTTCAAAATCAAAGTTAGATTAAGAAAGAAAAGGTGTTTTCTCAAGAATTCCGTCAAATTCCCTTTTCAGACAATGCTCAAAGATCCGAAGCTTAACGATGAAAGGGTTGAAGAAGCGGGAAATCTTGTTGATGTTCTTGATCAACTCAAAAATAAGCCAAAAGGGATTTCAAGGTAGATTTTTAACACATTGATGACTTCAAATCCTTTACGAGACGGCCAGCGATCAAAATGAATAACCAAATCCTAGAAATTTGAGCTTAAAAGACTCTAGAATCTGAATCCGGACCAACAAACTTCATCAAGTTTATTTTAACAATTCTTCAAGACCTCTTTGAGTTTAAACACTTGTAATTTGTAGCTATTTCATTAAACTATCTAAAACTATTAGAAAAAATCTTTTTTTAAACATTTTCACTGTAAAAGTGTACAAAGCAGGAGTCGAACCAACAACCCCCCATTGAAGCCTCGGATTGACCGCGCGCGCCTTAGACCACTCGGCCATGAAATCCTCGGCTTCCTCGGACTCCACGGCCCGGTTTTTTCACTTTTTACAAAAAATCACACAACTTCCTAATAAAACTAACATCGGATTCGGAAAGAGGACCTAAAATTACATGCTCTCACAAATTTAGAGCACATTTCGTTCAACCATTCACGAGAAACAGCCATGACTCAGCATTGAGTCGTTTATTTGTTAAAAAAGACAAAAAAAAACACGAATTTCTAAACAAATTTAACAATAAATCAAAAGAGATCCTCAATTTCCAGATCTTTAATGCAGTATATGGTCAAACAAACGCATCAAGGAGTCTCAAATCGGTGAGTTGAATCCTGTGATTTCAATGTTTTATTGTGAAATTTAAACAAAAACCCAATTTTTTTTAGAGAAAACGCGAAAAATCTGCTTGTCAAGGCGAATGTAGCAATTCGGAACTCAATTCGTTTATTGGCTGACGAGCTGCATAAAGAGGTGGGAAAGGAGAAGGCTGACTCTAGCTGGGCCTCAAATTGGGCTGACGCTAGCTGGGCCTCAAATTGGGCTGACTCTAGCTGGGCCCCAAAAAAACGCGTTTGAACATTGTTTGAACATTTGTACACCTTTTGGAAAAACGGCGCCCCGGATAAGATCAAATTACCTCCCCAAATTACCTCAATTGCCGCTTTGTGTAGTGGATAGTGTGCTCGCTCTTCGTCCCTGGTTCTTCCCTGGCTCTTCGCTGGTTCGAATCCCCGCACTGTCAAAACCTTGGCGGTTGGCGCTTCCGACGGCTTCGCTGCGGCCATTCCTAATGCTCATCATGTTAAATTGCTTTAATTAGAAGCAAAATAGTATAAAAATTGGTGAAAATCAAAGAAATATCTTTATGAAAAATAAAAAGGAAAAGTTTTTCAAGTGGAGGAGTCGAACTAATGCGGGAAAAAATCGGTCTGTCGCTTAGAAAAGCACACTATCCACACGATCGCTGTTGAAAGAAAGGCGTAAACCCAGCTCAAGACTATGATCGCTGTTGAAAGAAAGGCGTAAACCCAGCTCAAGACTATGATCACTGTTGAAATAGAGGCGTAAACTAAGCTCAAGACCACGATCGCTGTTAAAAGGGAAGCGTAGACTCGGCTCAAGTCCCCGATCGATGTTAAAGGAAAGGCGTAAACCCAGCTCAAGACCACGATCGCTGTTAAAAGGGAAGCGTAAACTCACCTCAAAACCACGATCACCGTTGAAAGAGAGGCGTAAACTCAGCTCAAGCGTGTCTAGCAAAAACTTTGATGCCAGAAATCTCGAGTTCACCAGCTATTCAGCCAATTTTGATTACAGATTCGGATTCCCGGTTTGATTTTTTGATCGAATGGCCTAAATCTCGTTTCGAAATCTGATTTCAATGAAACTTAAACTGAAACTGAAATTCATTGTCAGTCTAAACTTAAATTCCCGAGTTTTTCTTAGCTTAAGTCAAGCCAATTTTTAAAGAAACAGGCACTAGAGCCATTTAAGGCTATGGATTGGATTGGATTGGAAATCTACAAGGAAACAATAACATTAGTAACTTAGTAAATCGATTTCATCTTCAGGGGATTCTCACCGACAAAGATCTCGTCTACTACTTGACTCTTGTTGAAATTCGGGAACTGCTCAAGACTCGATCTCCTCGTTTTATCGCCAGGTTGGCCTCAAGAATTCCCAAACTAGTTGTCATCAATCTTTCACCAAACAAGTACGATTTTTGTTGAAAAGAATCAACTCGACCGGTTCAATTACGCAATCCAAAAAAAACTGATCGAATGTAAATTTTTTATGGTACAAATAGGGTAATAGAACGGTTCAAGTCCATTTACCCATCTACTTTGCCTTTGAGCTTTAGTTTAGCTTTAGGAGCTAGTTTAGCTTTAGGAGCTAAGCTTTAGGAGCTAGTTTAACTTTAGGAGCTAGTTTAGCTTTAGGAGCTAGTTTAGCTTTAGGAGCTAGTTTAGCTTTAGAAGCTAGTTTAGCTTTAGAAGCTTTAGTTTAGCTTTAGAAGCTAAGCTTTAGAAGCTAAGCTTTAGAAGCTTTAGAAGCTTTAGAAACTTTATTTTAGCTTTAGAAGCTAGTTTAGCCTTAGAAGCTAGTTTAGCTTTAGAAGCTAGTTTAGCTTTAGAAGCTAAACGTTAGAAGCTTTAGAAGCTTCAGTTTAGCTTTAGAAGCTTTAGTTTAGCTTTAGAAGCTAAACGTTAGAAGCTTTAGAAGCTTTAGAAGCTTTAGTTTAGCTTTAAAAGCTTTAGAAGCTTTTGTTTATCTTTAGAAGTTAAACGTTTATCTTTAAAAGCTAAACGTTTAGCTTTAGTTTAGCTTTAGAAATGAAAGATGAAGATTTTTGATGTCAAACATTAACAAAAAAACAAAAAAAAATTGGGTAATTGAATAATTGAATGAGAATTCTCCTAGGGCAATGAGAAGAAGACAGCACTTCCCGGCACAATCCGAGCATAAATATCGGCATGTCACTTGGGGATGCGTGGAGCCGGTAAAGCGTTTTGGTACAAATAAAAACACATACAAGTGCATGGGGCTTGCATTTTGCCACTTTACGAGCTGTACTTTGTTTCCCCTAACGTCAAACTTTTCCATTTTTCCTTTTCATCTTAATAAAAACTTTTTTTCTAATTAAAAACAAATTTTTATGAAGTAACCAAGCTTCTAGACTTCTTAAAACAAATAAAAGTGTTAAATTTTTAACTTTTCTTTAACCTTTCTATAAATTTTTGTAGTTTTTGTTAATTTCTTATCTTTAAAATGCTTTTAATCGAAAAGAATTTCATAAAAAAATTGTTTTTAATTAGAGAAAAAGATTTTATAAAAAGAAAATGATATAAAAAGAAAAAGCAAAGAAGTTTGACGTGAATTAAACTAGAGTAAAAACTCGTACAAAGAGCTTTTGCTCTAGTTTAATTTGTACAAAAACTATCTCCTCGGTAACACAGCCAGATTTACTACAGATACGGTTCCAATACGGTTCCTATTTTGATCGAATACGGTTCTAATACGGTTCTAATACGGTTCTAATACGGATCATTGCTCTGCGAGAAAAGCTTTTCTTTTGTGGAAAGTTGAAACATTTACTTTCAACAAAATTTAGAGAGATAACGAACCAATTTTAAAAAGATAAGGAACCAAATTTAGGTACGGTTCAAATACGGTTCCAATAAGGTTTCAATACGGTTCCAATACGGTTCCAATAAGGTTCCTATTTTGATCTAATACGGTTCAAATACTAGAGATCAAAAACTTCAAATAGAGATCAACAATCAAAACTTGTAAGCCAGATATCTTGTGTTACAGGCGCCAAGAACAAAAACTAAAACCAGATTCGAACTTGGCGTGGCCGATTCTACAGGGTATTCGAAACTTACCCGGAATAGGCTCAGGAATGGGCATGATCTTCAGCAGGAGTTTTAGCGTTTCCGGATTTATCTCTGGATTCGTCTCTGGATTCGTTTCTGGATTTGTCTCTGGATTCGTCTCTGGGTTCATTTCTGGATTCGTTTCTGGATTTATCTCTGGATTCATCTCTGGATTCGTTTCTGGATTTGTCTCTGGATTCGTCTCTGGGTTCATTTCTGGATTCGTTTCTGGATTTATCTCTGGATTCGTCTCTGGATTCATTTCTGGATTCATTTCTAGATTCGTTTCTGGATTCATTTCTAGATTCGTCTCTGGGTTCATTTCTGGATTCGTCTCTGGATTCGTTTCTGGATTCATTTCTGGATTCGTTTCTGGATTTATCTCTGGATTCGTTTCTGGATTTATCTCTGGATTCGTCTCTAGATTCATTTCTGGATTCGTTTCTGGATTCGTTTCTCGATTAGACTAGTTTTAAAATAATCTTACAATCACAATGCCAACCAATTAGTGTTACTGAGAATTGGCTTACTGGAGTAAAACTCGATAAAAGATCAGCTGATCTAGTACGATACGAGGTACGGTACATGTTAGGTACCTACCCGAGCCAACCAAAAGTTTTCAAGTGGTCTTCAAATAGTTTTCATAGTCTTGAATGTTTTACAGGAAGCCCCAGTGGACTCGATGAAGTTCAAATCGTTGGCCGAGTTGAAGGGGACACCGGTTTGCGAGGGACGAGTGGTGGCTAAAGCGAGAGTGGCAAAGAATCTCGAGGAAGCAAAGGAGACAAAAGTATTGGGATAAAGCAATATTAGCTTAAGATCTTGAGCAATAGTTTAAAAGTTTTTTAAAAAAATATCTTTTCACCTTTCATTGCCTATCATCCTGAATAGTTCTTAGAACTAAAAGTTTGTATAATTTTAGACTGGCGAGATTCTGATCACTTGTTTCACTGACATTTGTTGGTCACCGTTCTTTCCGATCATTCATGGTCTAGTCACAGAAATTGGAGGCTTGCTTTCACATGGTTAGTAAGAGGAAATCTATTTTCTAAGTTCTTAAAGCTTGTGGAAGCTTAAAGCTTAAAGTTTCTCAGTTTTCTTTTGATTCTAGGAGCTGTAGTGGCTCGAGAATATGGTCTGCCAAGTTTGATCGCTGTTCAACACGCAACTGAGGTTTTTAAAACAGGTAAAACTCTTTGAAAATGACTTATTTGAGTCTTGAGAATGAAATTACTTATTTATCTTTTATCTAAGCATTCGAAATTTTAGATTATCATTGAAATTTCATTGAAATTCTTGGATTTAGGTGATCTTGTCGAGTTGGACTCGTTCGAAGGAGTGATCCGGAAACTCGAAATGAATGATATAGGCAGAGAATAGACTGTGATCGGATCAAAATTAGAGAAATATTAGATAAATATTATGATATGCTTTATTCAGTTGAATAGCGACAAAACAAAATGACAATAATTATCCAGGTAACCACTCAAAACACACCTAGAAGATAAAAACAAAAAAAAACACCCAAAAGAGGAGCTCAAGAAAGAATCACAGAGGAGTCAAATCAATTGCAGAGATTGCGGCTTTAAATTGCAGAGATTGCGGCTTTAAATTGCAGAGATTGCGGCTTTAACCCATTCGAAACTTCTGCAGCGAATAATCGCTGCAGCAAAAACTCAGGAACGGACCGCTGCAGCGCTAATTAAGCTATTTTCATTCAATTACCGTATTCTCTCTAATAGTATTGCGCACTACTATTTTTTCAACCCCCTCCTGGACCGCAATACTATTAGAGAGTGCAATACTATTAAAGAGTTTTATCAATTACCAAAGTAAGACAGATATAAGATTTGTTCCAAAAATTCTTTCAAAAAAAGCGACTTTCTAAAAATTTATTGACTTCTGATAACAAAAAGTTAACTAGACAAAAAGATCTACAACAGAATCATCATTTGAATCATCATCCTCATCCAGTTCAATATTTTTGAGTTGATCCTTTACTCCGTTGATCGATTGTTCGAGACGAGCATTGGCGAGAAGTGTTGCGCCTTCAGGAATCGGTCCTTCTTTTTTGAAGCAATGAATGATACGATCTTCAGAGCCATCAGTAGCTGTGGTAATTGCACAACCCTTGAACGAGCTTATGATGAGGTTTTTTGGGAGCTCGTTCCAAGCATTCCAAACCCATTCAAGATAAGTTTCCATCGGTGGAGGAGTCGGGTTTCCATTCCGGGTCAAAGGTTTTGGTCCATTCATCATCCATCCCTCGTATTGTGCTCGAATCCTAGCCTTAAATGGTGCATTCCACATGACATCGGGAGCTTGTATGTCTTGGTGCATCCTCCGGGCACAAGAATCGAATCAATTTGCAAATCTTTTAAAGTTTTTTTTGGTTGCTTCGCTTTTATGGGCGGAAAAGTTGTCCCAGACGATTAATCGTTTTCCGAATAATGGAGCACCAAGAACCCTTCGAAGGTAGGACTCAATTGAAGTATCATTCATCCATGTAGACCCACCCCAGTGTAGCTCTAGCTTGTTGTGGAATTTTGTAATTACTTTGGGATCCGGTCTAACACGATTCAGCAACACAAAGGGCCTACACTTAAAGCCATCATCACGAGCCGTCAACATCACGGTGATTCGCATCTTATCGTGACCTGTTGAAAGAATCGCCACCTCTTTGGATCCTTTGTCGGCAATAGTCAAACTATTCGACTGATCCAGGAAAATGCCGGTCTCATCACAGGCAAAAATTGATGCGTAATTGTTCTTTTTGCGTAGCTTCTCCATATAGAGGATGTAATCAATTATTGCTTTCACATACTCATTTGGCTCCTTTTGACATACAGTTGTGGGCCGGCGAGTTGACAATTTGTGTCTTGACATGAATAAGTTTAGCCATCCCTCCGATGCCGAAAATTCCTCGTCATCTTTCCACATTAACTTGGCTTGGCATTGAATCATTTTTCGTGTCACTCGCATCTTCTTTGCCCGCATTTCTTGAATCCAAGCAACGAGATCCTTGTCAAAATCGATATCCTTGAGCTTTCGTCCACCGCCTTTGATTCGTTTTTTTCCTTTTCCGTTATCTCTGTTTTGTTTCTCGAGTTCTTCCTTTTGGCGACACCATGTTTGGATGTTTTGACGACTGACTCCAAATTTTCGCGCTGCAGCCGACTTATCCTTTATTTTTTCCGCAAGAGCAATCGCTTTCAGCTTTGTTTGAATGTCGAAACATCGCTTTCTCGCCGATGGTGCATCCGCTTCACACGAAGACTCCTCGGCAACATCCTTGGTCATGTTGTAGCCAGCATTTTGCTCGGTCACTTGATTGTCGATCCTCTTGAAGCTTTCCACATGTTCCTCGTGTTCACGACGAGCTCGAAAGTTTTCGAATCCATCAAGCGAATTCCCATCGAGATCCATACCTAAAGAAAAGATTATTTAGACAATAGTAAAGGTGATCAACAAAAATTATATAATATTAAAATCGAACATGATGGATTATTTTCTAGGATTGAGCTTTGATAACAATAAAGTTAAGCGCCGCAAAAGGTAAGTCAATCTCAAACTTTATACAGGTATATAAGAGCAAAAAATAACTATAGCTTTGCGCGAACTTCGTAAGCAAATTTGAGTTAATGTGCCACTAAAACAACGTGTGGGAACAAAAAAAGATGCTTAGGCACTTTACACAACAATTTCAGTTTTTTTGTTAACCTTTTCAGGTGAAGAATAGTTAACAAATGAATAAAAAAAGCCTCACTTTTGCTTGCTTGAATAGCTTTAGAATGTCACATAAACATAAAGATATTCAGTCAAAAAGGTTTAGATGAAAAAGAAGCGCTATAAATCCAACTTTTCAAGGCTGCACTACTATTTTTTCAACCCCCTCTCGGACCGCAATACTATTAGAGAGTGCAATACTATTAGAGAGAATACGGTAATTGGTTTTTTTGTTGTTCATTTTCATTCAATTAATTGTTTTTCAGCATTACATGTATATTCTAATTGTAACAGATCTACAAATTACGTGGGCAAAAAAGACGTGTCATATTTACCCGGAATCAATGCAGCCTCTGATTTGGCATTGAAATGTTCCATAACAGCTCTAATCTTATAAAGCCGATCTCCTGCAGGATCCAGTTCATTATCACAAAAATGCAGGTTTCGAAGAATAGATTCAAATTTTGCTCTTGACATAATGTGGAACATGTGGGAAAATTCTCCTAATCCAGGCCTTCTACTCCAGTAGTCACGAATCCTCGGTAATTTGACGATTCCCATTTGAAGATACAGAGCCAAGAAGAGCTTGAAGGATTTTGCATCGAAATCCTACCAGTTTGTTTTCCTTTTTCCATGATTATTAGATTCGCCTACTAAAATATTGTCGTCGATCAAATAAGAATAATAATCGATAGGATCTTGAAAAGTACTGAAATCAAATCCAACTCGTTCTTCATCAAAAATAAATGGTGTAGAAGACTCTCGTCAATCTTTCCAACCATCTGGATGAACTGCTTCGGACGCATCGTCATCCTCTTCCTCGGATTCGCTTGAACTTGATGAAAATACTTCTGGTTGAATTAGTCGATCATCTGATCCATCAATAGACTCCAAATCACTGTCAATAAATAAATTATTAAAAGAATCGTTCAATTCGTCATCCATAACGCTATTTAAAAGAAGAATAACTTAGATTAATATATAGAAATTATCAAAAATAATATAAAACAAAAAGTCAGCAAAAAAACCGCGGGAATGGACCGCTGCAGCGATTATTCGCTGCAGCGAAAAAATGTCAAAAAAGGGCTTGGTCCGCAGACAAAAAAAAAAGAAAAAACGCTGCGGTTTCGAATGGGTTAAATTGCAGAGATTGCGGCTCTAGGCAAGGTGGGAATATCACAAACATGAAGGGGTAAAAGGTTCCAGAATTTAGTAACTCGATTAAAAAAGAAACTGTGGGAGCTTTTAGAGGAAACGGAAGGTTGGCTTAGGCTTAGGCTTAGGCTTAAACGCTTAGAAATTCTAGAAACTGAAATCGGCTTAAATTTAAGTCAAGAAACTTCATATAGTTTACTTTAGTGATATCTTGATCCCCTTCTGGTAAGGTCCCCTTCTGGAGGCGCCTCGTAGAGAGCCGAATTCAAAGAGACCAGAAAAGAGGGGATGAATGCCTTGACAAGGGGTAAAAGGACAATCTTAAAGTATTCCACTAAATCGATGATAAGGCGGTGTTGGTTTAACGTTTCAAGACCAAAGAGTTGCAATCTATCAGAATAATTAAAGGAGGAGAATTTGTCAAAATTCATTTTATAAAGAGCAATTCTGGTGAAGTGCCTCGGAACACGTTCTATTTTTTGAATAAAATTCAGTAGGGAAGGAGACCAAATCAACGAAGTGTATTCAAGAATAGCATAAGCAACAAAACACATCCGATAACAAACCCGGTGGATCATCTTTACGTGTCATAAAAGACCGAAAAAGACTGTTTTGTTGCTAATAAATAAATATTTAATAGCAACAAAACACATCGGATAAGTTTTGATGTTAGGTATGGTAAAAGACCTGAGGATATGGTAGTTATCCTCAGGTTAGCACTTACGTTAGCTCGTAAGTTAGCACTTACGTTAGCACTTACGTTAGCTCGTAAGTTAGCACTTACGGAGGCCTTATTACACATGGATTCAATGTGAAAACGGAAACTAAGAGGAGGGCTAATAAGGACTCCCAAATCAAGCAGATATTCATTTTTTTTCTAGCAATAGGATGATTATCGAGGGTTAAAGAAAGAGAAGATTTGTCAGTGGGAAAATGAGAAGCTGGGGAGAGATTTAGCTTAGCTGGGGAGAGATTTAGATTAGATTAGATAAAAATTAGATAATTTCGTTCCTAGGTATAAACGGATGTGGACTAGAATTTGGGTTAAGTTAAAGAGAGTGGATCCCTTTTGATATCCCGCCATCTCTAATACCCCGACAACCCAACTCCTCCAACTCAACTCCTCCAACGTATTAGAGGGGAGTCCCTGTGAAATGACCGACCTGTACTGCAGTTGCATAGATCCGGAAGATATGTATCTTTATGTACAGTAGTATAATAAGACGAATAGATTACAAATAAGTGTAAGGGGAAGGGGGGACTCCAAATGAGACTGTCACTTGTCCTTCTAGGCTCCTCACTGTCCTCCTAGGCTCCTCACTGTCCTTCTAGGCTCCTCACTGTCCTCCTAGGCTCCTCACTGTCCTCCTAGGCTCCTCACTGTCCTTCTAGGCTCCTCACTGTCCTCCTAGGCTCCTCACTGTCCTTCTAGGCTCCTCACTGTCCTTCTAGGCTCCTCACTGTCCTCCTAGGCTCCTCACTGTCCTTCTAGGCTCCTCACTGTCCTTCTAGGCTCCTCACTGTCCTTCTAGGCTCCTCACTGTCCTCCTAGGCTCCTCACTGTCCTCCTAGGCAATCCCAAGGACCGCCCCTTCTCGGCAATAAAAGGGATAAGCACAGGGGAAGACACATTTGCATAAGAATAGACAAATCATTCAATAATAACAATAGTAACTAAAATATCAGTTTGGTTCGGAGCTGACAATAAAAATTAGATAAAAATTCGCTAAAATTAGATAAAAATTAGATAAATATTTATTTAATAGTCTTTTTCGGTCTTTTATGACACGTAATGATGATCCCAAAGTTTCGCGAGATGACTAAAATGAAGCTGAGACTCCAGGTGAAGAGGTTGGGGTCGAATGCGACGAGTGCGATTCTCAAATTTCCGATGCGAGATGAATAAAGCTGTGTAGAGGACAAGGCACTTCTCCAGATAAACCTGAAATCGGAATTTTGTGTATTTTGTGCTCAAAAACGTGAACACAACCTTTCTGGCATAGTTGGAAATGCCTGGAAGAAATTTGGCACTTTGATACACTTTTGAGTGCACTAGAAAGGATGCGTTTAGGCTCAAAGTACATGCTTTTTGAGCACATACTTTGTGCTTTACAATTGAACAAATAAACGCATCCTTTCTAGCACATTAGAATTGCGATTAGCTCACGAATTCTCGAATTTCTAACTTTCAAGCGCGCTAGAAAGGGTGTGCTTTTAGTTTTGAGCACAAAGTACAATCAAACTCTTCAAAACACATCAGATTTTGTGTATCAATTTCTCTAGCAACAGTACATACTGTAAATACTGTAATAGTACCCCAGCCCCATAATGACGGTGCGGAGTGTTGCGTAGTCTAGCTTTGAACGCGTTTTTCTCGACAATGGTTTATGCTACAATGCTCGTTTAAATATCAAAAAATAGCCCTGAATTTCAGCTATTTTTTGATATTTAAACGAGCATTGTAGCTTAAACCAGTGTCGAGAAAAACGCGTTCAAAGCTAGACTACGCAACGCTCCGCACCGTCATTATCTTTGGTATCAAAAAATAGCCCTGAATCTCAGCTATTTTTTGATACCTAAGACGCATTTTTTGAAAGTACGGGCGCTTTGAAAAAAATGAAATACTAAAAAAACTTTTGCGACTACGCGACTGTACGAGGGAGGTGGGGTACTTTTACAGTATTTACGGTAGACAACTACAGTAACCCGTCCGTTCCAATATGCCAAAAAGGAGTGGGTTTATAAGCACAAAGAATAGAAATAGGTTTAAAAAAACTGTTGTTTAAAAAACTGTTTAAAAAAGCTGTTCTCTGTCTAGAAATGTCTAGAAAAGCTGAGCATTTTCGCAAAAGATTTGCTCAATTAATCAATTGCAATTCTCCAGTTCTCAATTAATCAATTTGAAACTAAACTGGAGAATTGCATTGGGGAATTGACTTCGAGAACTTATTCCTTCGAAAATCTTATTTCTTTCTTGTCTTTTAAATTAATTGATGCTACACGATCTTTTCTTTTTTTCGATTCTTCTTTGGATTCGGTAAATCCAAATAAATAAAGCGACGTTTTCTCAGTTCTTCCGTTTTCTCATAGTTCACTATGAGAAAATTGATCGTCGCTTTATTTAGAGTACGTACTGTACGTAGTCCTGGTACGTATTGAAGTACTGTACTTAGTCCTGGTACGTATTGACGTACTGTACATAGTACTGGTGCTATGAGTCACTATGAGAAAACTGATCGCCGCTTTATTTAGAGTACGTACTGTACATAGTCCTGGTACGTATTGACGTACTGTACATAGTACTGGTGCTATGAGTCACTATGAGAAAATTGATCGCCGCTTTATTTAGCTGAAGAAATTGAAAAGAAATCTCAGCATATTGTGGGTTTTGTAGAAATCGTAGATTCTGATCTTTTGGATCCGGTAAATCCAAATAAATAAAAGCGACGATCAGTTTTCGAATCAAAGATTTAGGGTTTCTTGTCGGAATGCTCCTGAAAACATTTTTACAGATTAAAGTGTAGAGTTTAAGGTAATCAATCAATCAATGACAGATTGATTAGCGTAATCATCGTACTTCAGACGGTATTTCTCGGGAAATCTCAAGAAATCCCTTCTCAAGAAATCTCTAAGTTCAAAGTTATTTAAAAAAAACAAAAAAAACAAAAAAGCTCTTTGAAAAATCAAGAAATTTCTTACCGAATCACCCAAATCGAGATAAATATTCCCACTTGAATTCATCAAAGAAACCGACTCCATTGCCGAGGCAAAATAATAGAGAACGGCTAGAGTTATCCATGTCAATAAATCGTTTGCAGTGACGAAGAGGAAAACTTTTGATAGAGAAAAGTTCTCAGTGTATTGAAATCTGAAATTTGCAAGAAATTCTGCGAAACTTTTTTGGATCTGCCTTCGTTGATCACTTTTTAAAGCCTGACCCGGCTACCGTAGCCCTGCATCCAATTCGTAGAAGTTATACTAACCCAGACAGTTTATATTGTAGTCTGCAGTCCTAGTCGTTACAGTAACCCAGTATCATAGTTACAGTAGCCTAACAATAAGTAGTTGCGAAGTATTCTAGCGTAGTCGCAAAGATTACTGTGCTCAAGGATGTTCAAATCCGGCTCTAGGAGCCGAAAGTCGAGCTAGATCAGAACCTGGCCACCAGTCAGTCCTTGCTTAAAGATATTTTAGGTCTTGGCCCTAGGGATGATTTTTGTGGATCAGGTTTGAGCTGCATGACCTGGCTGGGACAAAATTGTCAACAAAAAGACTGGGAGTTGTTCTGGCCAAGCCAGAAAAAGCCTAACTAATGGTGTGGTGACTCAGCTTAACTACAGTACTTACCGGTGCTATGTACAGACGGTACTATGTACAGTGTACTATGCCGGTACCATGTACAGTACTTACCGGTACTATGTACAGTACGTACTAGTCCTATGTACAGGACATATCAATGCTCTGTACAGGACATATCAATGCTATGTACATTACGTGCCGGTACGATGTACATTACGTGCCGGTACGATGTACATTACGTGCCGGTACGATGTACATTACGCGCCAGTACTATGTACATTACGTGCCGGTACTATGTACATTACGTACCAGTACTATGTACATTACGTGCCAGTACTATGTACATTACGTGCCGGTACTATGTACATTACGTGCCATATATACATACGGGTACTCTAGTATATATTATACGTACCGTACTGTCGTACCGTACTATGATTAGTGCCGGTCTGTTCGTACTGTCTATGTACGGCTTCATGCTTGTACTTAGTAAGTACTTGTATTACGGCCTATATGTACATTACGTGCCGGTACTATGTACATTACGTACCAGTACTATGTACATTACGTGCCAGTACTATCTACATTACGTGCCGGTACTATGTACATTACGTGCCGATACTATGCACATTACGTGCCGGTACTATGTACATTACGTGCCGGTACTATGTACATTACGTACCAGTACTATGTACATTACGTACCAGTACTATGTACATTACGTACTAGTACTATGTACAGGACATATAAATGCTATGTACATTACGTACCAGTACTATGTACATTACGTGCCGGTACTATGTACATTGTGTACCAGTACTATGTACATTACGTGCCAGTACTATGTACATTACCTGCCGGTACTATGTACATTACGTGCCAGTACTATGTACAGTACGCTTTAAAGCAGCTACCAGGGTCAGCTTGGAAAAAGTACGTTCAAATACGCAAAAAATCTGATTTCGAGCCAGATTTCGCAGTACTTCTACAGTCATTCTACAGTCTTCCACTACTTTTACTCACCTCGCCGATAAGCTCAAATTCGAATTTCCCCTATCAACAATCATTCGTTTATTGAAACGGAAAATGATGATCGTTTCCTGGAAGTTTTTGGGAATTTTTCATTTCTTTCTATCAACAAAACCAATAAACACAAAAAAGCGATCAACGAGAAGAAAAGACTGTTGCTCAGATCGGCTAATGGTACTGAAAATTTGATATTTAGGCTTAGGCTTAGCTGGGAAAAATTGGGCAAAAATTAAACTCACTAATTCCACTATCGTAGATGAACATCCAAATGGCGGCTGCGAGGAACTAAAGTCTAGATTTGATAAAGATTTCATAAAGATTTCATAAAGATTTCATAATTTTTTGAGATTTTCGCTTTCTAGACAATTTTATCGTTTCCTAAGTTGCGTTTTTTAGAAAAAAAAACTTCGTAAACTAGTTTGAAGCCTTTTGCTTTAAAGTTAAGCAAAAGTTTTAAGCTACCGTAACCCATAAATATTGTAATCAACTATTGTAGCTCATGATCCAACTACCGTAAGCTCATGTAACCCAAAAGCTACCGTAATCCAGTAACTTTTTTGGAGGCAACGTTTTAGAAAATCGGTTATGATTAGAAAATATGCTTTCTTTGTCTAATCCATTTTCTAAAACACACCTCTTCCTCTTCCTCTTCCTCTTTCTCTTCCTCTCTCTCCCTCTCTCTCTCTTTCTCTTTCTCTTCCTCTTTCTCTTCCTCTCTCTCTTTCTCTCTCTCTTTCTCTTTCTCTTCCTCTTTCTACTGATAAATATAGATAAGATTACGGTAGAAAGAGAAAGAGAAAGAGAGAGAGAGAGGGAAAGAGAAAGAGAAAGAGAAAGAGAGAGAGAAAGAGAGAGAGAAAGTTGATGAGTTTAAGAAAACGGATTAAAAAGAAGGGTCAATTTCTCCACTTACCGGCAATAAAAACAATAAAAGATTGAAGAAAAAACCATTCGTTTTCTCTTCATAACTCGTCGCTTTCAACGTGGCGATCCCTCGCTCAAAACTCATAAAAATTGTCGTAAACGCGTCACCGTATAGCCCAAAGAAATAGCAATTAGTAGAAAGGTGCTAAATTGTAAATAGTTTAGAAAAGAGATCTGAAAATTACCAATATGATGGGCAGATCAAGCATTTGCGAGCAGAGAAAACCGATCAGTGATAGGGTGACGATGAGACACGAGGCGCAACTCGCGAAAACGAGACATCTTAAGTGATCTTTAACACTTTCATTTTCACATCTTTGACTTCTTTGACATCAAGAAATAAAGATTTCAGTTTTTTGTAAACTGTAAACTTTTGTAATCTTTACTTTAAGGAACAGAGGATCACAGAAAGAGGCTCAATGAGTGACGATCACCGTCACTCATTGAGCCTGAGCCTGAGCCTGAGCCTTTTGGAAGCAGAGCCCTCCAGCGCGCCCATAGCTTAGTGGTAGAGCTTTTGCCTGGAAAGTAAACGGAGTTCGATCCGGAGTTCGATCCGGAGTTCGATCCGGAGTTCGATCCGGAGTTCGATCCGGAGTTCGATCCGGAGTTCGATCCGGAGTTCGATCCGGAGTTCGATCCGGAGTTCGATCCGGAGTTCGATCCGGAGTTCGATCCGGAGTTCGATCCGGAGTTCGATCCGGAGTTCGATCCGGAGTTCGATCCGGAGTTCGATCCGGAGTTCGATCCGGAGTTCGATCCGGAGTTCGATCCGGAGTTCGATCCGGAGTTCGATCCGGAGTTCGATCCGGAGTTCGATCCGGAGTTCGATCCGGAGTTCGATCCGGAGTTCGATCCGGAGTTCGATCTCTCCGTGGGCATCCCCGTTTTCCTTTTGCTCATAGCAAACTGACTTTACTAAACCTTGCCTTTGAACCTGGCTCTATTCCTAGCCCTGACTTGAGTTGGCTTAACTGCCACTGATCTGGCCACCATTACAAAACCTCACTTCAGACCTGGCCTTTTATGTTATTCCACAGTCTTTTCCTGGCGCCCACAAAGCTTTAGTTAGATTTGATCTATCTATCCAAATCTATCTATCCAAATCTATCTATCCAAATCTATCTATCCAAATCTATCTATCCAAATCTAGCTATCCAAATCTAGCTATCCAAATCTAGCTATCCAAATCTAGCTATCCAAATCCATCTATCCAAATCTAGCTATCCAAATCTATCTATCCAAATCTATCTATCCAAATCTAGCTATCCAAATCTAGCTATCCAAATCTAGCTATCCAAATCTAGCTATCCAAATCTATCTATCCAAAAGCTAGATTTGAACAAGAGCTAGGTCTATCTGACTAACAGCCTCAGGCAGGGTTATTCCAGAGCAATTGGCTTTTGATCTTGGCCTTGGTTCTGAACTAGCCTAGGCTTTTATAAAATCTTTACTATTTTTAGTTTTAGTACTAACTTTACTTTTGAAAAGAAAAAAAGCAGCCTAGCCATTTTCTGTTTCTTCGGCTGAATTCGCCAAATAACTAATGTAAAAATGACTGAAATGTTTTAAGAATTGGCTTATTTCCTTGAAAAATCTGCTATTTCCATAGTTTTGGTCCAAAGTCTATTAATGAATTCAAAAATTCTTGTAAATTCGGCTTATGTCACACATTCTCATGACCCAAATGAGTGTGGGGAGATTCTCGTGTTCGTTCAAACTTTGACTTTTGATTTCTAGAAGAGCAAAGGCTGGTTTCTTTGGCTTTTTGATTTGATTTCTGGAAAAAAACTGCTTTTTCTGATTGTATTTGTTACCTGAAATTCTCATGTAAATAAGTCATTTTCTTCACGAGCAAACGGGCGATCATTAAAGCGAAAAACGAATCGAGAAGGCAGAAAACGATTCGGAAAAAGGAATACCACCACGAGTCGACCAAATGACTCATTTTGGGAATGGGAATTGAGCTGAAAGCTGAAATTTTGATAATTTTGATCAATTATTGGCAAGTATTTGTTAAAAACTGGCACAAAGGGGTATTGAAGATTACGAGAAACACGATTAGCTTTTTTGGGTTTAAGCTTATCACAAAAGAACATGAAATTGAGAGCTCCGATTAGTAGATTCGAGAAAATGAGCACCGCCAATCGATTCGTCGACCTCGAAAACCACTGGGTGCAAATTTTCAGCGAAAGACCTTCCTTTTATACAATCTAAAAAGTAAAAGGAAAATCTTCAGCGCTTTTGGCATGTCGATTTAACTCGCCCACAAACCCCCGACAAATATCCCTTGATGGTGTAGTGGATAAGAGGTTTGTGTCAAGATCTGGCTGGCCGGCCTCTTGCTCGGGTTCGATTCCCTTTGCAGCCAAACGTTTTGCTTTTTGTTTATTTAAGTATTTCCAGGCGTAATTTTTTTTCTTTTTCTTTTTTATCGCATATTTCATCAAAATAGACAGTTGGGGAGCATTTATTTAAACAAATTTAAAGAATAAAGAGCACTTTTCATATAGTTTTCGCTGTTTTTCGCGTCACTATGCTTAACTTTTCAGATAAACTTTGGTCTTAAAGTGCTTGCATTTCCCGGAAAAATTTCTGGACACACGGAAAAGATAAACCGTTCGTTTTCTGACAAAAAAGCTGACACAAAAGAAAACAGAAAATGATTTTGAGAGAAAGTCGAGAAATTCAACACCAAATGACTCATTTAACAATGAAATTTAGTGAAAATTTTGTTCTTAAATCAGTTTTAAATCACTTCCGAGAGATTAGTTCAAAATTTTTAGAAAAAAAACGTCTCTAATTTGATCACAGAGGAATTGTCACAGAGGAGTTTCGTTAAAAAAAAAACAAGACCTTGAATTCCTTGGAGGGTAAGAAAGAGAGTTCAATTTTTGTCAAAATTTGGAATCTATCAGCTTTATTTGGGGTTGAAAGTTGAATAGCGATAAAACGAGATCACAATAATCACCCAGGACACCAGGACATCACTCAAAACAAACTCAAAAAGTTAAAAAGATAAAAAGATTCCTCAAGAAAGAATCACAGAGCAGCCAAATCAATTGCCGAAATTGTGGCTTTAAATCTAAGCAAGATGGGAATATTACGAATATGAGCAGGTAAAAGGTTCCAAAATTTCATAACTCGATTAAAGATTAATAGAAAATAGACTGTAGGAGCTTTTAGAGGAAACGGAAGGTTGGCCTCCAGGCGCCTTGGAGGCTTGGAGGCGCCTTGGAGGCTTGGAGGCGCCTTGGAGGCTTGGAGGCGCCTTGGAGGCTTGGAGGCGCCTTGGAGGCTTGGAGGCGCCTTGAGGCTTGGAGGCGCCTTGGAGGCTTGGAGGCGCCTTGGAGGCTTGGAGGCGCCTTGGAGGCTTGGAGGCGCCTTGGAGGCTTGGAGGCGCCTTGGAGGCTTGGAGGCGCCTTGGAGGCTTGGAGGCGCCTTGGAGGCTTGGAGGCGCCTTGGAGGCTTGGAGGCGCCTTGGAGGCTTGGAGGCGCCTTGGAGGCTTGGAGGCGCCTTGGAGGCTTGGAGGCGCCTTGAGGCTTGGAGGCGCCTTGGAGGCTTGGAGGCGCCTTGAGGCTTGGAGGCGCCTTGGAGGCTTGGAGGCGCCTTGGAGGCTTGGAGGCGCCTTGGAGGCTTGGAGGCGCCTTGGAGGCTTGGAGGCGCCTTGGAGGCTTGGAGGCGCCTTGGAGGCTTGGAGGCGCCTTGGAGGCTTGGAGGCTTGGAGGCGCCTTGGAGGCTTGGAGGCTTGGAGGCGCCTTGGAGGCTTGGAGGCTTGGAGGCGCCTTGGAGGCTTGGAGGCTTGGAGGCGCCTTGGAGGCTTGGAGGCTTGGAGGCGCCTTGGAGGCTTGGAGGCTTGGAGGCGCCTTGGAGGCTTGGAGGCTTGGAGGCGCCTAGAGGCGCAGAATTCAAAGAGATTAGAAAAAAAGAGGGTCAGGATGAATGCCTTTAACAATTTGAAAGCATTTCACTAAATCGATGATAAGACGGCGTTGGTGTAACGTTTTAAGACTAAAGAATTAGATTAGAATCTATTAAAATAATTAAAGGAGGAGATGAGTTCAATGATAATTCATGATTTAGCTTTTTTCTTTGGCAAAAAGCTTGAAAAATGTTGAAGTAGATTAGTTACAGTACTTGAAAAGAACAATTCAGCTCATCGGTGAACAATAATAACGATATTTTGTATTATTTTTGTACTAATGATCGACTAATTCGATTATTTTCTGATGTTAACTCAGTTAAGAGTTTTTTTTTCGATTTTTCAGGATTTTCTTATTGTTTTCTTGTACTAGAAAGCTAGAAAAGCTATCGAATGACGAAAGAATTAACTAATTAATTAATTAACTTTAGTTTTTTTCTTTAAATTTACATAAAATTTAGTGAAATAGTTAACGACTACGCGACTTTACGCCAAAAATAAGTCAAGATCGTTGGTAAGATTATCTCAAGATTGTCTCAGGATTGTCTCAGGATTGTCTCAGGATTGTCTCAAGATTGTCCCCAGATTGTCTCAAGATTATCTCAAGATTATCTCAAGCTTGTCTCAGGATTGTCTCAAGATTATCTCAAGATTGTCTCAAGATTGTCTCAAGATTGTCTCAAGATTATCTCAAGATTGTCTCAAGATTGTCTCAAGATTGTCTCAAGATTATCTCAAGATTGTCTCAAGATTGTCTCAAGATTATCTCAAGATTGTCTCAAGATTGTCTCAAGATTATCTCAAGATTGTCTCAAGATTATCTCAAGCTTGTCTCAGGATTGTCTCAAGATTTAGAATCCTTTAAAGGAAAGTACTCGCTTTTAGCTTTTTATGCTTTTTAGCCTTCCGTCACGCATTTCATTCCGAAATTTAATGAAATTGTTTCGGGATTTAATGGGTTCAAAAGGGAACGCTTTAGAAAACTCAAAAAGTATTTACAATTAGAAAAGTGATTTATTAGGTTGGCGGGAAAATAATGCGAATTTTTAACTTGTGCTCTTGGGAAAGTAATGGCCGACAAACAGAGAAAACCGCGATAGTAACAGAGAAGTAGAGTGTGTTTGCTTACACAATCATAATATTATTTGAAAACATTTGTTCATTTGTTATCAAAAAATGACGGAACAAAAATTCCTTATTCGAGCTGCTTTACTCTATGACTTAAAGCTTGGAAAATCTGCCCGTGGATCGCATAATTCTATTTCAAAGGCCTATGGCGAAGGTAGGATTAGCGAAAGCCAATGTTATCGATGGTTTGTGCGATTTCGAAATGGAAACGAGAGCCTAGAAGATGAGCGTCACGAAGGACGTCCTCGAAAGCTGGATGAGTCTCAACTTTTGCAAATTATCGAAGAAGATCCCACTTGCATCACTCGGGAGTTGTCGGAAATGTTCAATGTTGATCATAGCACCATTGAAGAGCATTCACATTTGATTGGAAAGCGAAACAGATGCGGAAAATGGGTCCCACATGAACTGACCTTTAATCACAAAATTTCCCGTATGAACACTTGTTCAATTTTGATTCAAAAATCAAAAGCACATGATTTTCGGAAATCGATTGTTACTTCTGATGAAACGTGGATATTATATGATAACGTTAAGCGCAAGCACCAATGGCCATCACCAAAGCAAGTCCCGGTTGTCATGTCAAAACCTGGTCTGCATGGAAGGAAGTTGATGTTGTACGTATGGTGGAACTATCGTGGATTAGTTTATTTTGAACTGCTCAAGCCGGGTAAAACTGTCACATCTGAACTTTACAGTGAGCAGTTAGAGCGTGGGAATCAAGCTTTACCGAAATCTCGACATGACACTTCAAAAATTCGATTTTTGCATGATAATGCAAAACCGCACACGGCAAAGATGATCCTCCAACAAATCGAAGAGCTGGGTTGGAAGCTTCTACCTCACGCCCCATACAGCCCTGACTTGACCCCATCAGACTATCACTTATTCAGGTCTCTAAAGCAGTTCATCCCCGATCAGCTGTTCAACGATTTCCGGGAAGTCGAAAATGCGGTCACCAACTATTTTTCGTCAAAAAGTGCCCAGTTCTTTGAAGAAGGAATTATTGAATTGAGCAAAAGTTGACATAATGTCCTAAATAATAATGGAGAATACCTTTTATATTAATCCTCTTTATTTATTTTTTTTTTTTTAAATAAAAATTCGGGTCAAAAAATTCGCATTATTTTCCCGCCAACCCAAAAGATAGATCGATTTCATACTTTTACACGCATTTTAAAGGGGTTTTTATCAAAAGCTGTGCGCCAGATCGAAAAACATCCATTCAGAGCATAAAGTACATGCTTTAAAAGTGATTTTGGTTAGTGCTAGTGCCAGTGCGAGTTTCTAGTGCGCCAGAAAGATTGTGTTTAGCCATTCGTACGCAAAAAGTACTACGCAAAAGCACTACCCAAAAAGCACTACCCAAAAAGCACTACCCAAAAAGCACTACCCAAAAAGTACTACCCAAAAAGTACTATCCAAAAAGTACTATCCAAAAAGTACTACGCAAAAACCCGCATTTTTCGCCAATTTTCAATCACCGCTTTCTGCACACAGGTTTATGCTAAAACTCTGTTTTATATCTCAAAACGTCACCCATCTTCTCTACTTTAATTTGATACTTAAACGAACAAAAATAAACCTACTGATGTCAAGTTATGAGCATTTATTTGAGAGTCAACAAACTACCCGACACTCCTCTAGGCGCTCTTCGATTAGTTTTCTATAGAATTTCTATCCTTTCTATGCAATTCTTGAATCAAAATGAAACAATAGAACTAGAAAGAACTAGAAAGAACTAGAAAGAACTAGAAAGAACTAGAAAGAACAAGAAAGAACTAGAAAGAACTAGAAAGAACAAGAAAGAACTAGAAAGAACTAGAAAGAACTAGAAAGAACGAGAAAGAACGAGAACTAGAAAATCGAAAGAAAACTTTTTTCGCAGAGTGAGTCGGCTCCGCCCTTTCTGCGCTATGCCTAATTTATAAGATCAATTTTGGCGTTAAAGTGCTTGCATTTTTGAGGAATTTCTCAACGCACAGCCAACACACAAAACGTCTGTTTTCTGTCAAAAAAAAAAACTGGCACAAAAATTAAAAAGAAGCAATAATGGCGTTTTTGGTAATAAGTAATTGGCTTTTTTTTTGAAAGAAAACAAAGATTTAATGATTCCTTAGGGATTTTTGAGAAATAAAATGCTTTTTCTTGATAAAATGAGTACTTTGACGTCAGTTTGTGAATGAGAGGGACAACGGTTTATAAAATAAAACAAGATTTTCGATGCCAAATTTGAGCTTAGTTTATTGGAAAGTTTTGCAAATTATAGAAATTTTTGTACTTTTAGTACATAGTTTTCGGGTACGATGAGTGAAATTGTTGACGAGTTAGAGCTGTTTTGAATGCGAGGAGGCGACGAGCTAGAGTTAGAGTTGTTTTGAATGCAAGGAGGCGACGAGCTAGAGTTAGAGCATTTTATAGCTATCTTATAGAATATTTACGGCAGTTTGAAAAGGCAAAGAATCGCTTAATCGATTATTTTAACTAAATGAATTGACTAATCCATTCATTATTCAAGAAAAAATCGTTTCCGAAGTTTTGTTCCCGTGTCTTTTTTTTCCGAAGTTCCGGAAAACATTTTAGGCAATTTTTTAATTAACTTTCACTGTTAATTAACTTGTAGAAGGCAATTTGTTAATCAAGTTTCCTTTATTTGATGAAAAATCGCTTTCATTTCAGCAAAAGATTCAGCAAAAGCGAAGTTTATTGTTAGAAATGTGAGAAAATGAAAGACATTGAGAAATTGGCAATTAAATTGGCAATTAAAACAAAAATTAAGCAATTTTAAGCACATAGATCACAAGCAGGAGCTTAAAACAAAAAAAGACATCGAGATTTAAATAAATTTCGATTTTTTATTCATTATAAGATTGTTTTAAAGCAATTTTCAGTGTTTTTAGCCAGTTTTCTGCCAGTTTTCAGCAAGTTTTTCAAATTTTAAAAGAAAATCAGCCATTATTACTTACAGAGAACCCTTTCTCAGCACGGTTTTTGTATTCATTAGCCACATTTGTTTTCCTTTTTCCTTTTTTCACTCAAATTTGTTCTCTGTGTTTTGCGTTTCTGGGGACTTCTCAAGATGTTAAAGTTCAGCTTTCAAGATCAGATTACAATTTTGATTAAAATTTTAATTGATTTGTTTATAAATAAAGTTTAACTCGAAGAAAGTAAACCTGTTTTTCACAATTTTTTGTTTTTTTTTATTTTTTGATAAAACTCTGAGCTAGAATCACAGATTTATTAGTGAAATGGGAAAATTTATATAAAAACGAGTTCTTATTAGACTTAAGCTATGAAAAACTTATCAAAATCATAAAAGGTTTTGGTTTTGGTTTGGATTTTGAAAAAGTTTTATTGAATTGAGAAGTATGAAATGGCGGCATCGAGCTTTTAAAAAGAGTTTTTCAAACAAAAACTAAACTATAACTTCTTGACTGATATGGCTGCTTTAAAGGCAAAGATAGGCAAAAACCTAAGCCTAACCCTAAAGCCTAACCCCAAGCCTAACCCCAAGCCTAACCCCAAGCCTAAGCCTAAGCCTAAGCCTAAGCCTAAGCCTAAGCCTAAGCCTAAACCTAAGCCCAGGCCTAAACCCAAGCCTAAGTCCAAGCCTAACCCCAAGCCTAACCCCAAGCCTAAACCCAAGCCTAAGCCCAAGCCTAAGCCCAAACCTAAGCCTAAGTCCAAGCCTAACCCCAAGCCTAACCCCAAGCCTAACCCCAAGCCTAACCCCAAGCCTAACCCCAAGCCTAAACCCAAGCCTAAGCCCAAACCTAAGCCCAAACCTAAGCCTAAGCCCAGGCCTAAACCCAAGCCTAAGTCCAAGCTTAAGCCTAAGCTTAAGCCTAAGCCTGACCTTTTCTTACCTTCTTTCACTCAAATTTGCTCGCTGTTTTCCGTTTTTAGAGACTTTTCAAGAGGTTAAAGTTCAGTTTTCAAGATCAGATTACAATTTTGATTAAAATTTGAATTGATTTGTTTATAAATAAAGTTTAGCTCGAAGAAAGTAAACCTGTTTTTCACAATTTTTTGTTTTTTTTTATGTTTTGATAAAACTCTGAGCTATTAGGTTGAGGAAAAAGTAAGGTTTCTGTTTTTTCGATTTCTGTCACAAAACTGTTTATTGCTAAAAACATAAAAAAAACGCACATCGATCGATGAGATATTCTCCATTATTATTGATAACTTGTTCCCATCTTCGTCGCAATTCCCTCGTCCCATCCTCAAAAAAATGGGGAGTTTTCGAGCCAAAATAAGTGTCGAAAGCCTTTTTTGATCTGTGCATGATTCTCGAACTTTTCTCCCATAAGAAAACTCTTCAACGACCGAAACAAAAAATAATCTGATGGGGCCAGGTCCGGACTATAAGGTGCGTGGAGCAGAAGTTTCCAACCAAGCTCGTCGATTTTTTGGTGAGTGATTTTTGCAGTGTGAGGTTTTGCATTATCATGCAAAAATAGCAATTCTGATGTTTCAACGCCCAATTTCTTTAAAGCCTCGTTAACTCTCATCAACTTTTTTGAATAAAGATCAGCGGTGACAGTTTCGAGTGGGAAGGGTTGGATTGTGTTCAATGGCATCAAGCAAATCCTCAAGGAAATCTCTTGGGGTCGTCCAGACCGTTCCTCGTCTTTGAGACTTTCATTTCCATCTTTTAACCGCTGAAACCATATTTGGCATTGTCTTTCGCTGATGCTGTCTTCCCCAAAAACTTCAATGTCACATCCTCAAAAAAATCGGGAGGGAGAAATTCGAGCCAAAATAAGTGTCGACTGCCTTTTTTTGATCTGTGCATGATTCTCGAACTTTTCTCCCATAAGAAAACTCTTCAACGACCGAAACAAAAAATAATCTGATGGGGCCAGGTCCGGACTATAAGGTGCGTGGAGCAGAAGTTTCCAACCAAGCTCGACGATTTTTTGGTGATAAGATGAGATGTTAAGGTTCAGTTTTCAAGAACAGATTACAATTTTGACTAAAATTTTAATTAATTTGTTTATAAATAAAGTTTATCTCCAAGAAAGTAAACCTGTTTTTCACATTTTCTTTTTTTGCTTTATCTTTTAATAAAACTCTGAGCTAGAATCACAGATTTATTAGTGAAATGAAAAAATTTATATAAAAACGAGTTCTAATTAGACTTAAGCTATGAAAACTTATCAAAATCATAAAAGGTTTTGGTTTTGGTTTTGGTTTTTGGCTTTGTTTTTGGCTTTGTTTTTTGCTTTGTTTTAGTTTTGATAGAGTTTAAGTTCTGCTTTTGATAAGCTTTGGTTTTGGTTTTGATAAGGTTTTCATAGAACAAGTTTAGCTCTAATCATCGATACGAAAAACGTCGATCAATTCGATTCTCCCACGAGTCTTTCAGCGAGCCAAAGTGAAGATGCGAGGTGATTTTTAAGGGCTCCGGGCGAACGCGATTCGATCGACGCACATATTTACGATGTGAGAAATAGAGAGCCATATAGAAAACGAAACATTTCTCGAGGTAAACCTAAAGATTTTGATGGAATCTTTTGCATAACTTGAGTTAGATTTAAATCTTGCATTTTTGTCTTCACCCGGTGAATCACTTTGAACGTTTTACCAGCGATTTTTTACCAGCTAAGATTCTCGAGTACTTGAAATCACACTTAAAAAGAGCTCAGGGAAATAGAATGGAGATGGAAATGGACTCCAAAATGGAATAGAGATTGAGATGGATTCTAAAATCGACTCTAAGATGAAATAGAGATTGAGATGGACTCTAAAATAGACTCTAAAATGGAATAGATGAACTCAATTCAAAAAAGAAAGGTTTAAGGTGTTCAAGTCTGGAAATCGTTTGGTTTTTTTTCCGGGAAAAGATACAGGAATGGTGAATTGAAAGCTTGTTTTTAGCTAAAAATTGGAATTTTGTGCTCTTCGTGTGGAAATTGTTCAAAAATATACAGGTTTAATCGATAGATTTCAATAGATTGCAATTATTTACCAATAGATCATTAGATTTAGAGCTCAACACAAGAAACGCATCAATACGCCTAATGTTAACCACTTGAAGTGACTTTTTATTGCCTCTTTCGCTGTCGTTTGCCTAGAAATAGAAGAGGTTGAATAAATTGAGTTTTTTACAAATTCTCGTTAAGCTTTCAGAGCTGAAATTTGATTCTAGCGCTATTGAGCTATTGGGCTTCAAGAGCTATTGGGCTTCAAGAGCTATTGGGCTTCAAGAGCTATTGGGCTTCAAGAGCTATTGGGCTTCAAGAGCTATTGGGCTTCAAGAGCTATTGGGCTTCAAGAGCTATTGGGCTTCAAGAGCTATTGGGCTTCAAGGCTATTGGGCTTCAAGAGCTATTGGGCTTAAGAGCTATTGGGCTTCAAGAGCTATTGGGCTTCAAGAGCTATTGGGCTTCAAGAGCTATTGGGCTTCAAGAGCTATTGGGCTTCAAGAGCTATTGGGCTTCAAGAGTTATTGGGTTAATTAGTGTCAAGTTTTCATCAATGAATAAAAGAAATTTGGTCTGTTTGATCACAGAAAAGTACAAAAACCAAGTAAATAGTTGCTCTAAGTAGTCCTTTAACAACCCAACAACGATTTTTGCAAGAATTCAATATCAATACCAGATCCCATACCTTTTTTAGAATAAAGCAAGCTTAATCAATAAGATATTCAGTTGTCCGGTTGGAACTAGGGCTCAATATACTCAAAGAACAATCGAATCAGCCTTTTTCGAAAATGATTTTGTGCTTTTTAAAGAAATTTTTACTTAAAACCAGTCAAGTATGATAATATAAACGACTTTTCTTGGAAATAGTTGGATTTGAAAGAGTTTATTGGGGCAAGTCAGTTTAGAGCTTTTTGTTTGAAGAAAATCCTTGGAATAAAGGTCATTGGGTAATTCAGCCAGCCAAAGCTTAGCGATATGCTTTTGCTCAATCAATCACTCACCGAATCACAAAGATCCATGATCCAATTGTCATACGAAGCTAATAATGTCGTTCCATTTTGTAAAAGTGAAGCGAAATAATAGAGAATTGATAGAATCACCCAGGTTAGTAAATCGTTTGCAGCGACGAAGAGGAAAGTTTTCGATAAGGAAAAGTTTTCAGAGTATTGAAATCTGAAAAGAATGAGCTTTATTGAGATTATTGAGTCAGTGACTCGTCGAGTGACAAGGCTGCTTCAAAGACTAAGACAGGCAAAAACCTAAGCCCAAGCCCAAGCCTAAACTGGTTGAGCTCTAGAAAATGGGGGTTCAGCCCAAACCCAAATAGACTTAGTGCGAGACGCTAGCCTTCGCACTAACTGCAAGCCAAAGCCTAAGCCCAGGCCTAAGCATAGGCCTAAGCCTAAGCCTAAGCCTGAGCCTAAGTCTAAGCCTAAGTCTAAGCCTAAGCCTAAGCCTAAGCCTAAGCCTAAGCCTAAGCCTAAGCCTGAGCCTGAGCCTAAACCTGGGCCGCCTAAGCCTAAGCCTAAGCCTAAGCCTAAGCCTAAGCCTAAGCCTAAGCCTAAGCCTAAGCCTGAGACTAAGCCTAAGCCCAAGCCCAATCCCAAGCCTAAACCTAAGCCTGAGCCTGAGCCTGAGCCTAAGCTTAAGCCTAGGGCTAAGCCTAAGCCTGAGCCTGAGCCTAAGCCTGGGCCTGAGCCTGAGCCTGAGCCTAACCCCAAGCCCAAGCCCAAGCCTCGCCAAAAACCAGGCTTGGATCCCTTCTAACCCTGGCCTACAGTCGTTCGTTTAGCTGAACACTCACTTAGCAGACAACGTCAAATGTTTCTCATTCCTTGTGCTCAACGCTTTCTTGTTGTGAAAGTAGAGGACGAGGCTTTCCTGGAAAACCAATTAGAAAACTCTAACAAATAACTAATTCTAAAGCACTTAAATCTAAAAAATTATCGTGAAAGCTTAAAAATTCCAACCATAAGACAACCAAGAGCGATCATCGCAAAAAGGACACTGCTAATCACGTCAGCAAACGGAACTAAATCTTGAAAGTTTTCGGTTTTAACAAAAATCATTCTATGATATCAAGAGCTCATTACAATACGAATAATTTAAACAAAAAAACTTACTGATTTCCGAGTAGTAGATCCAGATGAAGAGCCCGCTGCAGGAGAACTGAGTGCTTTGAATAAAGCTTATTCAAAGTACATGAGCTCAAAAGCTCTTGTACTTTGAAAGCTTAGAAACATACTCTTTCTGAAAAACTGGAACTAGAAAAACTGACCGGCAGGAGAAATAAGAAAAAATTGAGGTAAAGATTCCTCTTCTTTGCCTCATAATCTTTCGCTTGTACTGTAGCCACTCCACGCTCGATTGTGATTAAAAAAGTCGAGAAAGCGTCCGCGTAAATCCCGAAGAAATACGTAAAACACGGATATTCCTAGCAAGTAAAACACTTTTGATTTGAAGCTAAGCTGATTGAGTGATTGATTGATTGATTGATGCTGATTTGAAGCTGATTTGAAGCTGCTTTTCGAAAATCTGCATTAACCTTCGGAATTACCAATTACCAAATTGCGTACAATTGTGTACAATTGCATACAATGGCGTACACTTGCGTACAATTGCGTACAATTGCGTACAATGGCGTACAATTGCGTACAATGGCGTACACTTGCGTACAATTGCGTACAATTGCGTACAATGGCGTACACTTGCGTACAATGGCGTACAATTGCGTACAATTGCGTACACTGGCGTACAATTGCGCACAATTGCGTACAAATGCGTACAATTGCGTACAATGGCGTACAATTGTGTACAATTGCATACAATTGCGTACAATTGCGTACAATTGCGTACAATGGCGTACACTTGCGTACAATGGCGTACACTTGCGTGCAAGTGCGTACAATTGCATACAAAACTCTTCGCTTTCTTCATTCTTTCCTAAACTCCCGTCAGTTTATTTATTTCCAGAAATTTACACATTTGAGATCAAAAACGTAAGAAGTTGAAAGATATTTTCAATATTTGGCTACTCAACCGCCTTCTCCCCCGGTTAACTCTAGTTAGACGTTTTACAGAGTTTCCGAAAATTATTGCAACAACTATGATTTCTTGTTATTACTCTCTCGTTGATTGGATTGAAATGATTTTTGTATCAATCGATAGAGGAAGACATGAGGGGTCTAATCCTACCAAAATTATTTTAAACCAGCAACTGAGCGCCAAGATATTCGAGTTTAAAGTTAGATTGTCAATCAAGCAAATAGCTGACGGGAACAAATGCCAGATACCCTCTGAAATCTACCTACCTACCAAAACTATTGCAACAACTATGATTTCTTGTTATTTCTCTCTCGTTGATTGGATTGAAATGATTTTTGTATCAATCGATAGAGGAAGACATGAGGAGTCTAATCATACCAAAACTATTTTCAACCAGCAACTGAGCGCCAAGATATTTGAGTTTAAAGTTAGATTGTGAATGAAGCAAAAAGCTGACTGGAACAAATGCCAGATAATCACTGAAATCCACTTGATTTAAACTCCTTCGATTATTCTTGGTTTAGTCAATTTTAGAGGCAAACCTTGCGTACTTGCTTGCTTGCTCTACAAGATACTACCATTGGTTTGGATGGACGGGGTTTTTGTATCAATCGACAGAGGAAGACATGACGAGTCTAATCATACCAAAACTATTTTAAACTAACAACTGAGCGCCAAGATAGCTAGATAGATGGCGCCAAGATAGCTAGATAGATAGCGCCAAGATAGCTAGGTAGATAGCGCCAAGATAGCTAGATAGATAGCGCCAAGATAGCTAGGTAGATAGCGCCAAGATAGCTAGATAGATAGCGCCAAGATAGCTAGGTCGATAGCGCCAAGGTAGCTAGGTAGATAGCGCCAAGATTAAGTTTAAAGTTAGATTGTGAATGAAACAAAAAGCTGACTGGAAGAAATGCCAGATAATCACTGAAATCCACTTAATTTAAACTCCTTCGATTATTCTTGGTTAGAGGCAGATCCTTGCTCTACAAGATACTACCATTGATTTGGATGGACGTGATTTGATTTGAAACAAAATTTGATATTTGATAGTATTTGCTAGTATACAAAAAAGTTGTTGAAGACTTTCTGAGACGACTTTCCGAGACGACTTTCTTCAATCGTGTGAAAAAAGGAAAATGTGGAGGTATTTCCCTGGAGGGAAGAGGGTGGAAGAGGCACAAGAATGAGGTTTTTCTGTTTCCTTTTCTGAGACGACTTTCTTCAATCTGTTCAGCGCCATCCCCTCAAAATTTTGTCACTAAACTTTCTCGACTCCAAGCGCCTTTTTTCCGCTATGGCTATCACACTTTCATAGTTTTTGAATAAGTTTTTGATTTGACACTTTTGATTTGACACTTTTGATTTGATACACTTTTCCCAAATTCATCTTTAAGCTAGCGTCACGTTGTGAGCTTTTTCGTCAACTCTGGGACACAAATTGGAACCCAATTTCGGTATTTTGGCGACTATGGAGATCACAAATGAAAACCTGGTAAACTGAAGAAATAAATGACAAAAAAACAAACAAACAAACAAACAAACAAACAAACAAACAAACAAACAAACAGACAGACAATTTTTCAAATTATAATCTAGTAGAGAAGATTTGGAAACATTAAAATCAGTTTCATTGCCTTATTTTATAAGAAAACGTCATTGAATTTGAATGGAAAAAGTTTTCTCAAACTTTATCCATTCAAATTCAATGAAAAATTTTCATACTTGATCTAGAGATGCGGGCAAAAGACAAAAAGAAGTTAAAGCTTGGTGTTGGCTTTGTTCATCAGCTTTGTCATCAAAACTTTTCTCTCTTATGAGTAAAACTTACTATTAAAAAATGGGAATCGAAAATTTGACCAATTAGGAATAAAATAAGTGAACCGGAAACAATAAGGCACGAGGTACAAGTTGAGCAAACAAGGCATCTGAATGAGATTTTGATGGATGAGATTCAGATGAGTTGATAGCTTAGATTTAGATTACGGATTTTCTTAGAAGGCTAGAGCTTGGCCTAGTTGGACTAGCTTGGCCTAGTTGGCCTAGTTGGCCTAGCTTGGCCGTAGCTTGGCCTAGTTGGCCTAGCTTGGCCTAGCTTGGCCTAGTTGGCCTAGCTTGGCCTAGTTGGCCTAGTTGGCCTAGCTTGGCCTAGTTGGCCTAGCTTGGCCTAGTTGGCCTAGCTTGGCCTAGTTGGCCTAGCTTGGCCTAGTTGGCCTAGCTTGGCCTAGTTGGCCTAGCTTGGCCCAGCTAGTTGGCCTAGCTTGGCCCTAGTTGGCCTAGCTGCCCTAGTTGGCCTAGCTGCCCTAGTTGTCTTTGAAACAACCGAAAATTTGTCTTTGAAACAACTCTCGTTTTGGAATGTATACTGCAAACGATAGCAAAGTTAAACCAAAATTTTGCTATGACTAAAAGATAGAGCTAGAGCCAGAGCCAGATCTAGAGATGCTGGCAAAAGCTAAAAGAAGTCAAAGCTTAGTGTTGGCTTGTGATCAGCTTTGTGATCAAAAACGAATCCAATCAAAATCTTTTTCTCACCGAAAATTTCTATGCAAATAACTCCATCGTCTGCATGTCATCCAAATCGAGTAAATGGAAAAGGATAAATCGGCAAAAGCCAGACAAAGTCGAAAAATCACATATGCCAAGCTGTAGACAAGGTGCATTCTGGGGAAAGCTGTGAGTTTTCAATTTCAATAAAATTTCAACTCAAGTTAATATTGGAAATTGGAAATTCTTCTCCTCAAAGCTTCGAATAATTAGCTGTTCTATAATAATTAGCCGCAAAGGCGGTAATTTGCGCAAAGTTTGAGCAAAACTTTCTTTTTTTTTGAAAGAAAACAAAGATTTAATGATTCCTTGGGGATTTTTGAGAAATAAAATGCTTTTTCTTGATAAAATGAGCACTTTGACGTCAGTTTGTGAATGAGAGCGACAACGGTTTATAAAATAAAACGAGATTTTCGATGCCAAATTTGAGTTTAGTTTATTGGAAAGTTTTGCAAATTATAGATTTTTGTACTTTTAGTACATAATTTTCGGGTACGATGAGTGAAATTGTTGACGAGTTAGAGTTGTTTTGAATGCGACGAGGCGACGAGCTAGAGATAGAGTTGTTTCGAGTGCGACAAGGCAATGAGCTGGAGCTAGAGCTGTTTTGAACGCCACGAGGCGACGAGCTAGAGATAGAGTTGTTTCGAGTGCGACAAGGCAATGAGCTGGAGCTAGAGCTGTTTTGAACGCCACGAGGCGACGAGCTAGAGATAGAGTTGTTTTGAATGCGACAAGACAATGCGCTAGAGATAGAGTTGTTTCAAAGGCGGCCAGACAACGAGCTAGAGCTAGAGCTACAGCTGTTTCAAAGGCGACAAGAAAACGAACTAGAGCTAGAGCTGTTTTGAATGCGATAAGAAAATGAGCTAGAGTTAGAGCTGTTTTGAACGTGACAACGCGACGACGCTCTTGACAAACATTTTGAAGAAAGTCGGGAGCATTTTAACATCGATACGGAAGAAGAACGAGAAGATGATAGCGAAACTATGGACAGAAAAAGGAGAGATAAAAAGAAAAACTATCAAGACAAAAACAAAACTGCAGCTGCAGCTGCAAAGATGGACAAGAACGTTTCGATCAAAGCGTCGGCTGAACATTTTGGAATCGATTGGATTTATAAGAGTTTTATTATAAGAGATAGATTGAGGAGATATAGAAGTGTCAAAAGGTAGTCATTAAAAATCCGTTAAGCCCTTAATCCAGATCCAGTTGAGTCGAAATTTTTTGTTTTTTCTAGTAACGATGAATTGGGCATTTCCAGGAGGATTTGTAAGTAAAAACTGTTCAAATATTTCTAGACAAAAGCTGTTTAAAGCTGCTTTTCAACAAATTCTTGTCAATCCAAGCCAAACACTTCAAAAATAGCTATCACGTTGCCGCAAATTCTCCGAATGAAGTACGTTGATCGAAAAACCTCTCGTTGATTTGTCTTTTTAAATGCCTAATCATTGAGTGAGTGACTCTGGCAAGTTCTATTTAGTACTGTTGTAGGCTACAGTAGGCTAAAAGGGGTGTCTTTCGCTTTTATCCTAAAGTCCATACCTTTGAAATCATTGTAACTAATCGAAAAATTGATAAACTATCTATTTTTTTGAAAACCAACAATTAATTTTCATCTTTTAAACGTCAAAATCACTTAGAAAATCTGTACAAATGTAGTTTGAGTGTTTTTTTTTTCAAATTTCTATCATCATTTCTATCTGATCATTTGATTTCAAGTGATTGATCTCAAATTTTATTTCTAAAACATAAAAAGTTTGTAATTTCCGTATAAATATTCAAATAGACATGTAAAACGCGAAAAAAAATGAGCAAATTTGGAAGAAAAAGGAAAATTTAAAGGGAAATTTAAAGGAAAATCTTTGGAAAGAAAAGCACCGGTAATTTTTTTTTTTTTAAAAAACTAATGAATGGGACAAATATGGGGAAAATGTTCGAAAATCATGTAAATTTAAAGCAAAGTAAATTTGAATTTATAAATTGTAGAGAAAATTGGGTATAGGAAACTAAATCAAAATGTGAAAAGGTTAAAAAAAATCTTTTTTTAAAGGATGAAGCGAGAAAAGTGGCTCTCGGGAGAAAAAACTCAAGCTTTTCGCTTGGAAACAGCTTGGAAACAACTTGGAAACGGCTTGGAAATAGCTCAAATCTTAAATTGCTTAGAAATGGGTATTACTTAAAGAAATGAAAGCCAATTGTAGCCCGCGGGGAGCGATGGAGAGAAGAAAATCGACTTGAAAACGATCACGCAACGGCCACGAATCTGGGTGATCGACGAGGCGACGAACCTGGAATTGCTTCTAATTTGATTCTAATTTGGTTCTAATTTGGTTCTAATTTGGTTCTAATTTGGTTCTAATTTGGTTCCGATATGGTTCGGATACGGTTCCAATATGGTTCGGATACGGTTCGATACGGTTCCAACATGGTTCGGATACGGTTCGGATACGGTTCCAATATGGTTCCAATATGGTTCTAATATGGTTCCAATGTGGTTCTAATATGGTTCCAATATGGTTCCAATGTGGTTCTAATATGGTTCCAATGTGGTTCTAATATGGTTCGGATATGGTTCCAATATGGTTCTAATATGGTTCCAATATGGGTACTTCTCTCCTAAATTACCTCCTAAACTATCTCCTGAAAATAAAGCTCACGAAAACAGAAATCAAACCATTCAAAAACCACACAATTTTCGCACATTAAGAAGATAATTTGAAAGTTTTTCAGTTCAAAAAAAACCACTAATTGTGAGCAAATTGTAAGCAAAAGCTTAAATAATATAAAATAAGCTATTATTTAGATATCAAATATGAAATTGATCGAAATGTGACTCACCATATTCGCCACACAATCAGCTCGTTGCGCATCGAGCCACAACTTTGCCGTGTACTCGGTTTCGAAGCGCTGAAAATGGCAAATTCTTCGCTAAGCTTTTCATTTTTATTAGCAATTTTTAAAGCAGAAAAATTTCCATAAAAATTGACCTCCTGTGAAGCAAAAAAGGCGATTTCGAGGATGTTCTTCGCTCTCGTCAAACTGCTACTTCGATCAGTTTCTAACTCGCGAGCACAAGCTAGGAGAGCTTTGGAGAATCTGGAAATGAGAATCTGGAGATCTGGAAAAGCTGCTGATTCTAGAAATATTTAAAATCAGCAGCTTTTTGGAAAAAAAACGAAAGAATTGGCGGCGAGAGGAGTCGAATCGGTGACCTTTCTCTATCGTTCGTTTGAGAGACGCTCGCGTTAACCACTCGGCTAGTAGATGGCGCAGTGCAAGCGCATTTGTCTCTAGCCCACATGACCCCGCTTCGACTCCAGCTCACGTCGGCAATTTTGGTTTTTTAAGAATTTAAAAGCATGTTGGAATTCTAGATGGAATTCTAAGCCAAATTAACTATAAGCTATTTAAAACGGTCCTCTGGATGAGGAGTAGCGCACAGACAAACAGACAGACAAGCAGACAGATAGATAGACGGACAGACAGACAGACAGACAGACGGACAGACGGACGGACGGACAGACAAACAGACAGACAGACGGACAGACAGACAGGCGGACGGACGGACAGACGGACAGACAGACAGGCGGACAGACGGACGGACAGACAGACAGGCGGACGGGCGGACGGACAGACAAACAGACAGACAAACAGACAGACAGACAGATAGACAGACAGACGTCTCTTCTGCTTTATATGGTGGATAGTACCTAAAACTAATATCGCGGAATAGCGCGCACAAACAAACAGACAGATACAGCTCTTTTATACGCAAAATCTATCTTAAACATTAAAAACATTAAAAATATTAAAAATAATAAAGATAGCTTTTATTTAGAAGCTACTAATTATTAGATTTTAGAAGTAATTTTTCAAAATCAACTCACCTTGATCTATTCAAGATATGCGGAGCTCGGCCATCCATTTTATAGTGCAGCAAAGTGCAGAGGGATCTGGAAATGGGCTTTTTAACTTGCAAAAACTCATCTTTAAAGTGAAATTGATTCAATTTCTATGTTTTGTTCTTAGTTTCTCATCGAAATCAAACCTCAACGCGTATTTGCACAGTCCAACGTACTCGTTGTCTCCTTCGTCGAGATCGTTGCCGAGTGTTTCCTAGGAATTTTTAGATAAATCTTAGCTTAGTCAACAAAAACAACGATAAACAAGTATCTGATTGATGTTTTTAATTATTCGTGATAAATCTAAGATCAAAGTTACTGTAGGACTTGGATTCAGTGAACTACAGGTTGCTGTAGTTTACTGTGGATACTGTAGGCTAGCTGGTACTGCAGTTCTGGAGACTGGTACTGTCTTAGGGATACTGTAGTTTACTGTAGATACTGTAGGACAACTGGTACTGCAGTTCTGAAGACTTGTACTGCCTTAGGGATGCTGTAGTTTACTGTAGACATTGTAAGTTAGCTGGTACTGCAGTTCTGGAGACTTGTACTGTCTTAGGGATACTTTAGCTTAGACATAATGTAGACTTACTGTAGTTCAGGAATAATGTAGAGATACAGTCAGTGTAGTACAGTTATTGTACAGTTATTGTACAGGTATTGAAGGTTAATTCCTTAATTTTATAAGCGGGAAGTTTTGAGCAGAAGCTTACTAGGGAATTGCTCCAAGTTAGCATCGATTTGTGGTATTGGATCTAGCGCAGAAAAGCCAAATTGAAATTCTAAGGGATACATGTTTTTCAGTTTTACTCCATAGCATTCAGTTTTCGAGAAGTTTAGGCACTTTCGGGAAAAACGGTGCCGCCACGGTATGACGATGCCGTGGTATAAGGCCAAATTCTTTCCCAGAGAACAGTGACCGCGCGGTGTAAAGGATAGTGGGCTAGCCTCTGGCGCTGGTTGTTCCTGGTTCGAATCCCCTCACTGTCAAAGCCTTTTTGCTTTTTTGCTAAAGCACTAAAATCAATTTTTAACTGTTTTAAGGTGTGTATAAACAGTTAGAAGATAAATAGGGCTACTTGAAATGGTAAAAGATGGCTGTTAATGATAAAAGATAGTTCTTAATGGTAAAAGATGGCTCTTAATGATAAAAGATAGCTCTTAATGGTAAAAGATAGCTCTTAATGATAAAAGATAGCTCTTAGTGGCAAAAGAAATGACAAAAGATGACTCAGAAGATGGTTATGCTCATAGTTGGTGTAGCAAACTGTATACTCAGAATGCTGTAGAGATTGTTTGCTTGCTGCTATAGCTCTGAGTTTAATCCAAGTCACCAAATTTCTCTCTGGATCTGTTTTGAGACTTGACTGCTAAAAGCCAACTGACAACATTTTACAATGTTTACGGCAAATATGGGACTATGAATTCTTTGATCCTGCTTCACTCACCGGTAAAAATATGAGTCTTGGATGCTCGTTGATCTCGCGAACGGTGCCGTGGAAAGAGGTGTTTCGGTAAGCGAGCAAGAACTCCTAAATTGTGATGAGATTGAGATTTTGATTGAGATTTTGATTGAGATTGTGATTGAGATTCAAAGAATTCAATAGAACAGCTCTGTTACTTTGTTTTGTTGTGTAATTGTAAGAAATCGCTAAAATCCTACTTTGAAATTGTTGCTGAGATGTTCGACGTCATCAGACTGAACGTTTTTCAGGGCTGACAACAATTGGATGAGAATGAAAGCGACGTGGCTCTCGTGGTTTTCAATAGATAATGTCTAAAAATGAACCTTGAGTACTTGTACGTAAGTTGCTGTAGTTTACTGTAGATACTAATCGCCAGCGATCTGGCAAATCGCTTTGGTATAGAAGGCTTCCCTTTTCAAATCCTTAAAGGGAAGAGCCTCTGCACTGGTACTGCAGTTCTGGAGATTTGTACTGTCTTAGGGATACTGTAGTTTAGACATAATGTAGGCTTACTGTAGTTTAGGAATAATGTAGAGTTACAGTTAGTGTAGTACAGCTATTGTACAGTTATTCTACAGTTATTCTACAGTTATTGAAGGTTAATTCCTTAACTTTATAAGCATTTTTCTCTACTTTACAAGTACCGTATGCAAATTGTGAGCGGTCAATTGGTGGAAGCTGAAAAGACTCTGTCTGGGCATGACGACAACACGTGGATTTCTGCCCAATTGAGCCTGTCGCCCGCCTTCCTAAACTTTTATGAATACAGTAGAATGAAGACTGATTCTAAAGACAGATTTTTCCTAATCCCGGCTAAACCAAGCCAGCCAAGATCGTCTTTCCTGGCCTTCTTTCTTGGCCTTCTTTCTTGGCCTTCTTTCCTGGCCTTCTTTCCTGATCTTCTTTCCTAACCTTCTTTCCTAGGCTCCTTTCTTGGCCTTCTTTCTTGGCCTTCTTTCCTAGGCTTCTTTTCTAGCCTTCTTTCCTTCTTTCTAGCCACTCTAGTCCTCTAAAGCCAATCCTAAGCCTGACCTGGCTTAGATATTAAACAAATAACCAATTTTTCTTCACTATCACTGACCTTCAAGAATCTCGAGATCGATCCATCGTGATCTTCCATTTCCATCAGCGATGGTACTCCGCAATCAGAACCCCGTCGCAATAAAGGCCCATATTGGGATGAGGGAGCGATCTGAAAGTAGCATTGTACTGTAAAATGGTGGAATACAGTAATGTACTTAGTTTAACTCTAGGCTAAAGCCTCAAAGAAACAAACAAACCATCAACGTCACATCTAAATCCTCCTGTTTCCCATCCAATGGCAAAATCGCGTCATAGAAGAGACAGGAGCCTTTGATGAGTTGCGGGGATGAGGATCTGGAAATCTCAAGCAGTGTTGAGGATACTGTATATAGGAATGCTGTAGTTCTTTTCATTAGCGGATAGTAGACAAGGAAAACTATGGGAATAGGGATACTGTAGTTCTGATAGTGATTACTTGCACTTATGGGATACTGTAGCTCTTCGTACATTATCCTATAAGGCTTAGGCTCAGGCTCAGGCCTAGGCTCAGGCCTAGGCTCAGGCCTAGGCTCAGGCCTAGGCTCAGGCTTAGGCTTAGGCTTGGACTTAGTGCGAAGTCTAGCGGCTAGCGCATCGCACTAAGTCTATTTGGGTTTGGGCTCAACCCCCATCTTCTGGATCTCGGCCAGTTTAGGCTTAGGCTTAGGCTTACTAGGGAAAGACACGAGATTAAGATGGCCTTTTTATGTGCATTTGATAGAGCTTTCAATGATGATTCCGAATCCGCTTTTAGTTTTTCTAATGGAGCTCTGTATAGCAAGGTATCTGGCATCAAAGTTTCAAAAGTTGGAGCTCGGAAACCGAACCATGGTTCTTCTGGTCTTCTGGATACCTATAGACACTAGACTTACCTCTAAACCACAGCCATCATCTAATGTAGGGAATTGTGCTAAAATATTGTTGGATTTCAGATCAACTTTGATGCCAGATATCTTGCTATACAGAGCTTCATTAGAAAAACTAAAAGCGGATTCGGAATCCTCATTGAAAGCCCGATCAAATACAAACTATCAATCAAATCTATCAATTGATGCGAGTCAAATCCACTGGATGCGCATTAAAAAGGCAACTTTGATCTGGTGCCTTTTTCTAGTTAGTGGATATTGTAAATCAGCGAATTATAGTCAAAAACTAACCTGAGAATGAAATCCTTAAAGTTTAGCTGATCGTATTTCTCCTTTGGAATCGTTTCATTTCTCAAGCGAACATTGTCAGCCAAATGATCGGAGATGTACGCCAACGCGTTCACATTGCTCAGCGTCATCTAGAATCCAAGAAGATTACAATGTGTGAAAGCTTTCAACAAAAATCTCTCCGCAAATCTTTCTAGCCCTCCAGGAACCTTTCTTTTTCATTTTTTACTTTACCTTATTACCTAAAAACCACTGGAATCTCAGTGGATTTTACCTTGAGACTTTTCTTCGGCTAAAATTTACTAAAATCTCACTTTTTAGGCTAAAATTCACTGGAATCTCACTTTTTTAGGCTAAAATTCACTCGAATCTCACTTTTTAGGCTAAAATCCACTGGAATCTCACTTTTTTAGGCTAAAATTCACTTGAATCTCTCTTCTTAGGCTAAAATCCATTGAAATTCCAGTGGATTACCTTTCATTTATTACCTATCAAATTTTACCTGATGATACACCGCTTCTGTGTCCTTATTTCTCGTTGTTGCATCGGGTGTGCCCCGACCTTTTTGCTGATTTCCATTCTGATGTAAGTGTTCCATTTGGATTGGATGAATCATGCAGATTGAGGATCGAGAACCTGTAAAAACAAGGAGACTTTAGTTCAGGGTATACATGTACTTAATGACTGATTACTGGATGACTATGCGTACTTGCACGAATAGCTAAGTACTGTACTGTACTGTAGCTAAGAGTACTGTAGGTTAGAGCTACCGTAGTTCTGTGTACTTACTTACATTAGAGAGACTGTAGGCCTGTAGATACTGTAGTTAGTGAGTACTTGTCTTTAGTGAGACTGGTCTTTAGTGAGCACTTGTACTTTAGTGAGCACTTGTCTTTAGTGAGTACTTGTCTTTAGTGAGTACTTGTACTTTAGTGAGTCCTTGTACTTGTAAACTGTAAGTGATCAGTGCCTTATCTTATAGTTAGCTCAAGATATACTGTAGGATAAGAAGGCAGGGATACTGTAAAGCTGATTTTGAGTATATTGTAGCCAAAACTCTACCATTCTGACTGCTCCTCATCGGTGAGGGCGCGGGAGAACGCTCGTTTCTGGACCTCGATCGTCGAATGTAATTTGGAGTGATCGATTTCGACGAATCGAGTGAATCTTGCTCGGAGCCAAGTCTTCGGCTCTAAAAAAAGAAATCGTGAAAAAGAAAGCAAACGCTTTTCGCCCACAATCAATCCATTTCTGAATTTGACTTCATCTCCGTAGATTGGCGCCGATCGCGGCGGAGTTGGCGGGGTTTCACTCTAAAAGATTGCTCAAATTTTAAAGCATTTTAAAGCTTTTCGCACTTCAGCTACCGTAATCTGAGTCTTGTGGCGTATATAAGGCCACATTTTCTAAAAAAGCCTTATTTTTTTCCTTCAAAATTTGCCGTTTCTCTCGTCTTTTTCATTAAAAATTACTTTTTTTACATAAAGTTTTTTAAAAGTGGTTTCTTTCTCATCTTCTTTATCAAAATCGGCTTTTCACAAGAAAAAAAAATTTATTTAACTATTTTCCGCTTTTAGCAAACCGGGAATGTCTTTTTCTATACTTTTTTCTTGCTCACAATTAAGATTTACTGAGTTTCAATGTCCGCAAGGACATAGAAAAGCCATTTGATTTGATTCTCATTTGATTTGATTCTCATTTGATTTGATTCTCATTTGATTTTCGTAAGAAATATCATTTGTTTAGCCTTTTGGCTTTCTTTAAGTAATAGAATTTGATTTTTAGAGGTTTTACAGAAAGAAATCGTTCTCCTTTATGTGCTTTAAAGCTTTTACCGGTGGCGTTGGATCCGGTGTCAAAGCACAAGTGAGCACAAGTGGTTTCTATGTCCACAAGGACATAGAAAAGCCATTCCCATTTGATTTCCGTAAGAAATATCATTTGTTTAGCCTTTTAAGTAATAGAATTTGATTTTTAAAGGTTTTACAGAAAGAAAGCGATCTCATTTAAGTGCTTTTAAAGCTTTTAAAGCTTTTACCGGTGGCGTTGGATCCGGCGTCAAAGCACAAGTGGGTGAAACGGGCAACGAGGCCGGGTCATCAATGTCCGTTTCTTTAATCCATCTGAAAGCGATTATGATTGAAAGCAATTATGAAAAAGCTTTTTATAAATCTATCTATTATAATCGAAAGAAAAATTGAACTAAAATCGAAAGAAAAACTCGAAAAAGCGACCTTGTCCGCGGTGCTCGTCTCGCTTTCGGAGTGGGAATTGTCACGGTGAGTGGCGGCGGTTTTGGTGCCTCGGGGGGCGGTGTTGAGCCTAGAAATCGTAGTTTTATAATCATAAAATGATCAAGGTTTAAATTTTGTATATAAGTGTATCTAAAAATCGAAATTTTTGAGTAAAACTGTGATTTATCCACCTGTATGCGAAAGTGGAGACGGATCTCGGCCAAACGCTTGCGCCGGGATCGCGTTAAGAATCGTCTGAAAGAAGTTTTTCATGCAAAATTGAATTTTATCTTTGTAGTTATTTAGATAAGCCTTTTATTCTTTACCTCTTGCGTATAGATTAGCGCGGCTTCTCTCTCGTCACCATCTTTTGGCGCGCGTCGATGAATCGGATCGGTGGGACGGCGATGGATCGGGGAAAAGGCGCTTTCACGAGAGCGATGCCCATTCTTTAACATATTTGTTTTAACGTTTTAACGTTTTACAACAAATTCATTTCATTTCTTGCATTAGAACTAGAATTAGATAGCTTAAAATAGCTTAAAATCCTTTACAACAATCTGATCTGATGAACATAAAGATATAAGATAAAATCTGATAAAAAGTGATCGTAAGAATGACAAAAGACTCACCGATCTCTCGGAGCTGTTCTCTCGATCTCGATGAGGCGAGGAATCGTATCTTCTGAAATAAAAACTCATTAGTTGTCAAACTTTGAATTACTGTAATGGCATCGGTGACTGTGAAGCGTCTAGAGTATAGCGCCGAGGCAAACGAGTCTGCGGGACGCGGTCGGCACTCTAAAAGCAACGATTTTGAAATGCTTGTCTGGTGAAAGGAGTACGATAACTTGGCTAAAGATTACGGTAGTTTGGAGCACGGTAACTTGGTTAAAGGTTACGGTAGTTTGGAGTACGGTAACTTGGCTAAGGATCACGGTGGTTTGGAGTAAGGTAGCTTGAGGTACGGTAACTTGGTTAAAGGTTACGGTAGCTTGGAGTACGGTCACTTGGCTAAGGAGGACGATAGCTTGGAGTACGGTCACTTGGCTAAGGAGGACGGTAGCTTGGAGTACGGTCACTTGGCTAAGGATCACGGTGGTTTGGAGTAAGGTAGCTTGAGGTACGGTAACTTGGTTAAAGGTTACGGTAGCTTGGAGTACGGTCACTTGGCTAAGGAGGACGGTAGCTTGGAGTACGGTCACTTGGCTAAGGAGGACGGTAGTTTGGAGTTCGATAAGTTGGCTAGGGATCACGGTAGTTTGGAGTTCGATAAGTTGGCTATGGATTACGGTAGCTTGAAATACGGCAACTTGGCTAAGGATCACGGTAACTTGGCTAAAGATTACGGTAGTTCGGAGCACGGTAACTTGGCTAAGGATTACTGTAGCTTGGAGTACGGTAACTTGGCTAAGGAGGACGGTAGCTTGGTCCGACTTTGACAGCAGTGTAAGAATTCCAAAAGGATCACAGTCCCTCACTCAATCTTTAACTCAACTCAGGGATTTAAACCATCAATCAACTCAAACCTGATAGATGGATAATGGAGCCATTGAATATCGGGAAAGCAGTACGGTGTTTAGTAGGGTATTGGCTGGAGATTACTGTAGCTTAGCTCAAAAGGAGTACGGTAGCTTGGTAAAGTTTTACTGGAAGCAAATGAAATAATCTGCAAGGGATTACGGGAACTTGGTCAAGCTTTAGCTGGCCACAATTGACGTAAGCTGGTCAAAAATTGGCCACAAATAACCACCTCCTTCACCCCAGATTGATGAGAGAGGAAAAAAAGTACACAAAAGTGAAAAAGAGAGAGGAAAACCCTCAAAATTGATGCTTTACCGGTCATTTACAAGCACTTAGAGCAAAAAAAATTTCTTGAATTCTCGAGGAATTTCACATTTTTTGTTGGATAGCTTTCTCTATTTTCCCCTATTTTTCTCGCCTTTCATTCGCCACCTACGCGAAATCTCTCGAAATTCTTTTTTCTTTCTTCTTTCTTCTTTCTACTTTCTTCTTTCTTTCTTCTTCTTTTTCTTTTTAATCTCAACGGTGATCTTTTGAGGTAAACTTTAAAAGTTGGCTTTAAAATATAAAGATTCTTTTGCAAGAATTGATATACACTACTGGACAATGAAATATGATATTTGAAAAAAGATCGTCACTTTCGCGCGTCTGTAACTCCATTGTCTTTACCGTATTTCTAAATATTAATATTACCATTGTGTAGCCCTTGAAAAGAGCTTTCAGAAAATGTATAACACTAATAGTTTAAACTCAAAAACAAGGGAGTTACAGACGCGCGAAAGTGATGATCTTTTTTCAAATATGCTATTTCATTGTCCAGTACTCTATGTATAATGCTTTTTGTTTCATTCACTTTAGCCTTTGTTAGATCAAGTATCTAGTTGTTATCAAAGCAAATTGAAGCAATAAAATGCACGAGATTTGTTGACACAAAGCAAGAAAAACTGAGAAAATGATTATTGTTATTTCTTAACTAATTTAACAATGAAAAAAATTCTTTCTGTTTTGAGAAGGGATTCTGAAAAGGAGAAAGAATTGAGGGATGAGCAATCTCCTCAAGTCGGCTCTCCCAAATTAAGTCAAATCAAATAGGCAAATCAAATAGAACAAATCAAATATCATATTTCATTGTCCAGTACTGTGGGTTTAGTCGAACTTGTAATTGCATTTACTAGATAGAGAATTGAAAATAAACTCTCTAAGGTAAACAAAGCATTCTCCAGTATCAATTCCTATAGTTCCTATAGTAAAAATACCCCAAAATGTTTACAAAAAAATCTTTAAAATGCTTGAATGCTTTAATTGTGCTTTAAAATGCTTTAAAATGCTTTAATTATGCTTTAAAATGCTTTAATTGTGCTTTAAAATGCTTTAATTGTTTTAAAGTAAACGATTTAAACAATAGGTTTGCATTTAAATCTCTTTAAAAGCTTGCTAACTTAATTGATTCAAAGAATTATCGAAAAAAAGTTGAATACTTATCAAAACTTTGAAACTTTGAAATGAAAACTATAAAACTTATGAAATAAAAGAGCAAAAAGGTGACTAAATGCTTTACTTTCAATGACAGTTCTCTATTTGCTTTATTATTTCACAAATAAGCCTTGAAAAGAAAGCCTTGAAAAGAATGCCTTGAAAAGAATGACTTTAGAAAAAGGAAAGGAAAAGTTTTCTTTTTGTAACAATTCGCAAATAGAGAGTATTCTATTCTACTTGTTGGAACCTTATTGGAACCGTATTGGGACAAAAAAGGAGTCGTATTGGAATTGTATTGGAATCGTATTGGAATAGTATTGGAACAAAATAGGAACCGTATTGGAACCGTATTGGAACCTTATTGGAACCGTATTGGAACAAAGTAGGAACCGTATTGGAACAAAATAGGAATCGTATTGGAATTGTATTGGAACCTTATTGGAACCGTATTGGAACAAAATAGGAACCGTATTGGAACCGTATTGGAACCTTATTGGAACCGTATTGGAACAAAGTAGGAACCGTATTGGAACCGTATTGGAACAAAGTAGGAACCGTATTGGAACCGTATTGGAACCTTATTGGAACCGTATTGGAACAAAGTAGGAACCGTATTGGAACCGTATTGGAACCTTATTGGAACCGTATTGGAACAAAGTAGGAACCGTATTGGAACAAAGTAGGAACCGTATTGGAACCTTATTGGAACCGTATTGGAACAAAGTAGGAACCGTATTGGAACAAAATAGGAACCGTATTGGAACCGTATTGGAACAAAGTAGGAACCGTATTGGAATTTTATTGGAATTGTATTGGAACCGTATTGCAACCATGTTGGAACCTTTTAGAATCGTATTGGAACAAAATAGGAGCCGTATTGGAATTGTATTGGAATAGTATTGCAACCGTGTTGGAACCTTATTGGATCAGTTTTGCAGAAAAGACATCCAATTTGATTTCAAATAAACTTAATGAATTTGGAAATAAACCTGAAATCTCGTTAACAATTGCTTAAAGTTGTTGGCACGTTGTTGGGGTAATTCGGGTGGTGGACCGAGGAGTTGCTGGGGCTGCGGGATGAGTGATGGAGAGCGAACACCTCTGAAATCAGAAATGATTCCGGAAAGAGAAAATAAATAACTAGAAGGTGATTTTGATTCATTGATTAGCTGATTAAATCCATTGAGTTATGCCAAACTCCTCAGCTTCAAGTCAGACCAAGATCTGCCAGCCTAGGCTTGACAAACAATACTTGTTGTACTTGTTGTACTTGTTGTACTTGTGGTACTTGTGGTACTTGTCGGTTATACATCCAGAGAGACTCATCTCGGCTAAGCATCTCCATGCGAGTCTTCTCGGTTATCGATTCTCGTTCGACTGATCGATTCTCGTTCGACTGATCACTTCAGGCGAGCACTCTACTTCACTGAGCATAATCACCCCTCACAAGTTGTCAGCTTCTTCACAAGTTGTCAGCTTCTTGCTTAACCGAGATGAGTCTGCGAGTGGATGTATAACCGACAAGTACCGCCTTGGTTTACTAGAATCTAATCTAGATCTAGGCTCGATTTGAATCAATTTCGCTGGACCTAGAAGCCAAGAATGTTTATGTACTTTAGCTGGCTATGAAGTTAAATCATTACTTTGTAAATTAGCCAAAAGCACTCCTAATACCCCGTTCTAGACTCAAATTTCTCTTATTTCTAGACAAAATAGATAAATTTCTTTTTTTAAGCAAAAATTCATATTATTTTCTGTATATATTCAAGATTTTATAATCATAAAATTGATAGAGAATATTTTTCTGAACACTTAAAAATGGTGCAAAATGACTGGTGCAAAAAGATCTTCTTACTGGCTTAATGTTCTTATAAATTATTTCTCTACCTTAAACTATTTTGAATGCTTTGAAGCCTTTGCGGGAAAGTGGATCTCCTCTCCAGTCCCTGATCGGATTCAGATGATTCTGAGCTCGATTCAATCTCTGGTCGTTCAGGAATCCGGCTGGGTAAGTGGACATTGCTCGGCAGGAGTTCGTTCGAATTATGTGAATAATATCCAAGTAATTGCACTGGATTCTGTGGATTTCTTGAGAGAATTGGTGTTTCGATTACTGGATAATATCCAATGAAAGACACTGGTTGAGTGACATTTGAGATCGAGCGTTGCATTCTGTAACCAGGACGTGGTTTTGGTGGAGCACGTGGTTCCGGCTTTTCAGAAAGATGGCGACGAATTTTTCGGAACATCAACAAGAATTTCAGTATTCAGTGCTCGGCTGTGATTTTGTAGAATAAGTTATTAATAATATAGTAGTACTGTAGGTTGTCTGGCTTTTAAAAGCTTTGGTCAAGGTTGTCTGGCTTTTAAAAGTCTTGGTAAAGGTTGTCTGGCTTTTAAAAGCCTTGGTAAAGGTTGTCTGACCTTTCAAAGCCTTGGTAAAGGCTGTCTGACCTTTCAAAGCCTTGGTAAAGAAAATAATATTGTAGTTTGGAGTACTTTAAAGAGTACTTTTTCATAAAGTTTGTAAACTTTACCCAAAAATCCTTTTAACCTAGAAATACAGTCAAATTTTAGACAAAGAATATCCAAAAAAGCGAAATCTTTGTTTGTTTCCTTGTCCACTTTCAAAAGCGGGATCTTCGGGAGTGAGAAAAACGAGTGCTACGACAAATAGTGAGTAAATCGATTGGCTAATAGGGAAATAGTCAATAGATTTCTAGCTTAATATCATTTTTATGAAAAAGATTGTGAAAAGACAAGGAATAATTGCTAAGATGTGAATAAGAAATGAGAAAAAGATGAGAGTAGCACATCTATGAGTGCCGATGACTTGATGACGAGAAAATGGAGAAAAGGAAAGAAAGGAAAGGAAAGAAAGGAAAGAAAGGAAAGGAAAGGAAAGGAAAGAAAGGAAAGAAAGAAAGGAAAGAAAGGAAAGAAAGGAAAGAAAGAAAGAAAAAGAAAAGAAAGGCAAATCTCCAACATCCACTCATCAATACTAACAACTAATGATTTTCAGAGCTTTTTGTGTGATTGGATTGGCGGATTCTAGAGAAATATGCTGACTAAAGAGATCTTTGAATGAACCTGTTACGTTTACCTGTTACGGGTTACCTATTACGCCTTGTATAAAGGAAAATTACATTAAAACAATCCCAGATTACTTCAAGTTCTTTATCATTTCTTTATCATTTCATTATCGTTTCATTATCGTTTCATTATCATTTCTTTATCATTTCATTATCGTTTCATTATCGTTTCATTATCATAACATTTTTCTATTATTGCTTTCAATTCTCACCCCCAATTTGTCGGGTTTATGGAAAATTCGAGCTTTTAGAAGCTCCGTCAACAGACGAAGTCGATCGATTGAGCTTAATATAGTCGAATAGTGGAAAATATAATGGAAAAATGTAGAAAAATGAATTTATAACAAAGTTTTAAGTAATTAGACATATTTTTGAGTTAATCTGACTTCATAGAAGGTGTAACACATACAGTACTGGACAATGAAATATCATAATCGTACTATTCTCTATCTATCTATCTATCCATCTTACTTTTAGATAATCGTACTATTCTCTATCTATCTATCTATCCATCTTACTTTTAGATAATCGTACTATTCTCTATCTATCTATCTATCCATCTTACTTTTAGATAATCGTACTATTCTCTATCTACAGTACTGGACAATGAAATATCATATTTGAAAAACGATCGTCACTTTCGCGCGTCTGTAACTCCCTGGCCTTGAGTTTAAACTATTAGTGTTATACATTTTCTGAAAGCTCTTTTCAAGGGCTACACAATCGTAATATTAATATTTAGAAATACGGTAAAGACAATGGAGTTACAGACGCGCGAAAGTGACGATCTTTTTTCAAATATCATATTTCATTGTCCATTAGTGTATGTGCCATCGATCATTAAAAAACGATTCCGAACACGTTCCGTTTCTGTTCAGAAACTCGGGATTTTAGATGAAATTCTTGATTTGAATTCAAAGTCTTGATTCTAAGGCTGTATTTCTTTCTTTCTTCTAGGGCTGGATTCCATTTTTCCTTTCTTTCTTTCTTTCTTCTTTCATTCTTTCATTCTTTCTTCTTTCTTTCTTCTTTCTTTCTTTCTTTTAAGGCTAGATTTCTTGATTCCAACAGCAATCTTTAATTAGTTTGGTAATAGAGCAATTGAGATCCTAAGCCGTTCATTTGGGTCAGAGCCATGGCCATGAGCCAGTGCCAGCCATGTTAGAGCCACCCATGTCAAAGCCAGCCATTTCAGAACCAACCATGTTAGAGCCAGCCATGTCAAAGCCAACCATTTCAGAGCCACCCATGTCAAAGCCAGCCATTTCAGAACCAACCATGTTAGAGCCAGGCATTTTCTAATCCCAAACTCAAGATTAGAACAAGTCAGCCAGATACCTATTCTTGAAGAAACCGACCAAAGACCTGACCTAGTTTTACTGCACTTAGCTGGTTAGGCTACAGAAAAAAAAATAAGACCAACAAACAAAATCTAGCCCTAAATCCGGACCTAATAGTGAGGCCAGGTTTAAAATTGATAGGTCTTTAGGTTTTCAGGCTTTAGAACAACACTGTTGAATTGATGAAGAACGTTTTATTGATGTTGAATTGATGAAGAACTGTTTGGGATAGGATTCTTCTAATGTCATCAAAATTTTCTCTCATTTCTCCTATTTGATACTTACTCAAAATCGATGAGACTGTTTCGATCGAGTCGAGAGCGTTCCTTGCCGCGAATTTTACGGAAAATCACCGAATCGGATTGGTCTTCCTAAAAATGATGAATATCAGTGATTTCACAATTCTAATATAACATTTTGGCAAAACTGGACCGACCATAGTTGCACTGGAAAGGGTTTTTTTTCTATTTTTAGGTGAAAAGTGGACTAATCTCATTCAATTAACCAACTAATCTCATGCAACTAACCCATGCATCATTGTAGGTGAAGCCAAGATCGTTCTCGGATCGAGCCGAGAGCGCCCGGTGAATCACTTTCAACATTTTACTTGGCATTTTCGACTTTCGATAAGCTTTTGTCAAGTATTTGAACTCAAATATAGTATTAAAGCTTGGAAAAATGCTTAAAAATGCTTAAAAATGCTTAAAAATGCTTTAAAATGCTTAAAAATGCTTAAAAAGGCTTAAAAATGCTTTAAAAGGCTTAAAAAGTGCTTAAAAAGTGCTTAAAAATAGTTGGAAAGTAAAGAAAATAGAGATGGAATGGTTTAAAAATTTACGAGAAAGAAAAAGGAGAAAGATTTTGAAGAGTTTAAGCTATTTGAGTCTGGGAATTGGTTTATTTTTTTGGATTGAGAAAGAAATTGATCATTTGAAGGGAATGTTTACGGTTTTTGCGTCTTAAGAAAACAGCCTTAAGAAAAACTTTATGCTCTTGCGTCAAAAAATTGTTTAAAAGTATAGACAAAGGCATTAATAACTGACTTATAAATAAGAACTTAGAAATAAGAACTTAGAAATAAGAACTTAGAAATAAGAACTTAGAAATAAGAACTTATAAATAAGAACTTAAACTAAACTAACAACTTAAACTAATAACTTAAATTTAACGAATAATTAAGTAATTCGGACAAAGATATCAAGAGAAAACGATAAAAAAGGATTCAAGAATGAAATTGAACCACTTTTATCTATTGAATTGGTGGGTTAGTGAATTGAAAACTGCGGAACTTTGAACTAGAATTGATTCAATTCCATACTCCGTTCTTTCGGAAGGTGAGTCCTGGCCATATATCTTTTTAATATTAGCAGCTGCCAGGCCTGCACTGTGCTCTTGTAGGAAGTCATGAAGCATGACATGACGAATATCTCCCGGTGGCAGATTCCCAAGTGCAATAGAAGAAGTGAAGAAAAATACCAAAAAATAAAAAGGTGGAAGCATAATTTTTTCGCAATAATTAGAGGAAATGTTGAAGTAACCAAACCCATTTTTCAGCTGGTTCAATGCTGTTGTTTTTTTTATTTGCGAGTCAGTCTAGACTCTCTGGATTACGGTATTTAATCTAGAATAGGATACTTAGTCAAGAATAGCTAGGTTACGGCATTTAGTCTAGATAGAGTATTCAGTCTAGATTAGGGTATTCAGTCTAGACTGTTTGGATTACGGTATTAAACCTAGAACAGGATATTCAGTCTAGAATAAGCAGTTTTCAATTCACCAAACCCAATAGATTCAATCAAACAATAGAATGGTTTCAACAAAATCAATAGATTCAATAAAACTAATGAAATTTCGACAAATCTCAAGGCTCAAGGCTAAACAAATCTCAAGGCTAAACTTTTGATCATAATGACGTTGGGTGTTTCTTTTTCTATTGAATCCGTCTTGAATTCAGCTTTAGGATGAGCTATAAAACGTCAAAATTGGACAAATTTAAGGTCGGATCGGAATCGGAAACCAAAAAATCGAAAAGGACTTTTCCATCAACCCAATATTTCATTTAGCTCTTTTCTATTTCATTTAGCTCTTTTTATTTCATTTCTATTTCATTTCATCTATTTCATTTTCATCTTTAAATCATTTAAAATTAGATTTGATTAGTCTGATTGAAATGTTGAAATGTTTCAAATAATTTTATAGAATAATAAGTAAAGTTAGAGGTTAAAAAAGAGTTTTTTGAGTTTTTTGAGTTTATTTGGGTTTAAATTAATAACTAAGAACTTAAGTTTAATTAATAATTAAGTTTATCAACGAATAATTAAGTTTATTAACGAATAATTAACTTTATTAATGAATAATTAACTTTATTAAGGAATAATTAAGTTTATTAAGGAATAATTAAGTTTATTAAGGAATAATTAAGTTTATTAATGAATAATTAAGTTTATTAACGAATAATTAAGTTTATTAACGAATATTTAAGTTTATTAACGAATAATTAAGTTTATTAACGATTAATTAACTTTAATAACGAATAATTAACTTTATTAACGAATAATTACGTAATTAAAGTAAGTAAGTAACAAGGATATCAAGAGAAAACGATAAAAATAAAATTCAAGAATGAAATTGAACCACTTTTATCTAGAATGGCTTCATAAAAAACTCAATAGATTCGATAAAACTAATGAAATTTCGACGATTGTGTTGTTGATTCATTGAAAGAGTGTTGCTTTCTTTCGTTTTGCTTTCGTTTATTTGCTTTCATGATTTCCCACTTCTTCTCAACCCGTCATAATCTTTTCTTTGTTGGGATTTGGGGCATGGACCAAATCACTTGCATAAAGCGATCCGGTTCAAGTTCAGTGACTAACTAGGAAACAGTTTCACTCGGTTTCCTAATTGTTATATCGAATATATCGAATTTCTCTTTGTTTACCCTCTTTTGATAGGAAAAGTCAAGTGTCTGTCTGGAAAAGCAAGGATTTCATGATGCTTTGGTCTACAGGGTGAGGAGGATTCTAGCGACAAGAAGTTCCACGCGTTTACTGGTCATTTAATCCAGTTTATTGGTCATATCCAGTTTATAGGTCATTTAATCCAGTTTATAGATCATTTAATCCAGTTTATAGATCATTTAATCCAGTTTATAGATCATTTAATCCAGTTTATAGGTCATTTAATCCAGTTTATTGGTCATATCCAGTTTATAAATCATTTAATCCAGTTTATAGGTCATTTAATCCAGTTTATTGGTCATATCCAGTTTATAGATCATTTAATCCAGTTTATAGGTCATTTAATCCAGTTTATTGGTCATTTATCCAGTTTATAAATCATTTAATCCAGTTTATAGGTCATTTAATCCAGTTTATTGGTCATATCCAGTTTATAGATCATTTAATCCAGTTTATTGGTCATATCCAGTTTATAGGTCATTTAATCCAGTTTATAGGTCATTTAATCCAGTTTATAGGTCATATCCAGTTTATAGGTCATATCCAGTTTATAGATCATTTAATCCAGTTTATTGCTCACTTGTTAATTTTTTTGATGTTTTTCTCTTTTTTAAGACTTATTTGAACGCTTTTACGCATTTCAATTATACAGGGTGACACTTTTTGCAAAAGTTCTGACACTTTTTCTGTCAGCAGTAATTTTTTGGCTTCAAAAACCCGTGAATTCAAAAAAACTAACGCCGGATTCTAAAAATTTAGGTATTTTCACCCCAATAAAGCCATTTTCATAAAAAGATTTCAACTCACAATAACTTTTTGACGAGAATTTGTATATCTCGGTCTGGTCGCTGAAGATTTTTGCGAAAGTTGACTTAAACTTTGCAGAATGAAATTTCTTCCAAAAACTGCTGTTACCATTTGATAGAACTGAGTTTTTTTTTCTTGAAAACAAGCCACAAAAAAACTTTATATCTCAAAAACGAAAGATTTTCAAGCGATTCTACGAAGGGCACCCAAATCTCAACAGCAAAAAAAAGTGCTGCAACGACCTTTAAACATCTTCAATCAAAAGGTTGTTTAGATGGCAATTTTTGGGTAAAAAAGTATATTAGGGGGTAAAAATATCTGAATTTTTATAATCCGGTGTTAGTTTTTCAAAAATCGCGTTTTTTCCAAGTCAAACTGCCCGTTTACAAAAAGTGTCGGACCACTGTCGACCACTGTCGGACCAAAAAGTGTCGGACCACTGCCGCACCCTGTATTTTTACAGGATGATTGCAAAATCGATCCAACAATCTATCATCACTTTACATCAGCAAGGTGTTTTGGCAACCGACATCACCAAGCGTTTGAATGCTCCAAGCGTTCACTGGAGTTTTGTTTATCATGCCATAGAAGCCAACTGCAGCTTACAAACAAATTATCGTTTACAAAAGGATTGGCAGATCAATACAAGCGATTTGTACAAGCGATGAAAAGTTTTGAATTCAAAACGTTTACTATAGTCGATTAAGTTTTACTTTACAGTTTACTGTAACTTACTATTACAGCTATACTGTAAGTTACTGTAACTTACAATTAGGTTGGTGCAGAGGAAACTTCCGTCACGTCTCGTGTATTTTGAGGTCTCGTGTATTTTTAAGGTGCTGGATTTGGGCCAAAGAGTCACAGCGGATCTCTACAAAGCCCAATTGAGCTGACCTACAAAGCCCAAATCTGGACCAGGCGTTGCGTCGTCAAGGCATAGACACGGTGACTACAAAATTCCTCCACGACCACGCTCGACCCCACACCCCGAAGGTCACTCGGCAGAAAATCGAGGAATTGGGCTGGGAAGTTCTGCCTCATCAGCTATATAGCCCGGACTTGACCCCATCCGACTACCACTTGTTTCGGTCGATGCAGCACTCTTTAGCAGAAATTCAAAAAACGCGAAGAAGTTGAAATCTGGGTGTCCAACTTCTTCGAGTCCCAGTTGCTCGAGTTCTTCGAAAAGGGCATCCATTCTCTGCGTGGAAGATGGCAAAGAGTCATTGATAATGATGGCGAATATCTTTTGGATTGAGATTCTGTATTAGGATTTTTTAAATAAATTTTGTTTATGGTTCCAACGGAGGTTTCATCTGCACCAACCTAATATATTATAACTATACTGTAAGTTACTGTAACTTACTATACTTTAACTATACTGTAAGTTACAGTAAACTGTTGAAAGCCTATTGAAAAGTTGAAAGCCTAAGCCTGTTGAATAGGTTTTTGGGGTTAATTGTTGCTCAAAACTTCTGTAAGCTGTTTGTCAGCTACTTTGTCAGCTATCTACTTCCCCTTTTTCACTGCTTTCCCATTCAAACAACACAAAATCACCCAGTTTAACTTCTTTTACTTGTATCTGCTATTAGTTTTCTCCTAAATACCTGTGGAAGATGATGATCCTCGTAAGTGAGCAATGGCGGTGATGGCAACATCCCGGCGGAGAGCTGTCTTGGTGGAAGACCACGCACAGCACGCGGTCGAACTACCTGACAAGGGGAAACGTTTAACACAAAACAAAAACACAAGGAATTCTTGACTTTACAAATCCTCATAGAACTATATGCTTTTTTTTCGTTTTCGAACCTTTTCTCTAACTCACCATAGGTGACAATGGCACATAGGCGGTGGTGGGTAAACCATCGATCGGCGATGGGGGATTGCCTGGAAATTGGAACGTTGAAAATCGCAATATTGATATGAAATTAAATAGTTTTTATACCAATCGATAGAGAAAGGTTTGGCGCATTTAATGATATTAAGAATATTGAAATTGAACAGCTCAACACCGAGATATTTGAGCTTAAAGTTAGCCAATGGCAAATTGGGTGGGGCGTGGATCAACTGACCGATAACCAGCTTCAGACGTGATCAGGTTTTTGTTTGTTAGCCAGACTTGTAACAGATCTGCCTGACCCTACCAAAAAGGTTATTAGAATTCGGTTTCCTGGACAACTGTTCCTTGGCTAACCATGACAATGAATGGGGAAAGAGAGGAAACGGGACAGGACAAGGGATAGGCAAAGGGACAGGACAAGGGGCAGGACTAGGGACAGGCAAAGGGACAGGCAAAGGGACAGGCAAAGAGACAGGCAAAGGGACAGGCAAAGGGACAGGCAAAGGGACAGGCAAAGGGACAGGCAAAGGGACAGGCAAAGGGACAGGCAAAGAGACAGGCAAAGAGACAGGCAAAGGGACAGACAAAGGAACAAGCAAAGGGACAGGCAAAGGGACAGGACTAGGGGCAGGACAAGGGACAGAACAAGGGACAGAAGAAGGGACAGGACTAGGGACAGGCAAAGGGGCAGGACAAGGGACAGGTCAAGGGACAGGACTAGGGACAGGACTAGGGACAGACAAGGCTAGAACAGTTGTCTAGGAATCTGTTAGAGAAGATCAGAAACTAGGCTAGGCTCTGGTTTATGGCTTGGGAAATCTTGAACTCAACAAACACTCACGATAAGCATCATTTGGACTATCTCCGGGACTCTCACTGCTCGCTGTGCTCTGCCCGGCAGAATTCTCACGACGATACGTTGAAAAAGCTGACGTTTGCGATGGAGCGAGTGATTGGGTTTGCAGAGATTGCATCGCTTCACTGTAGATTCGTCTGTAAATGGAAATTTGACTTAATATTTTGATTTGAATTCAAAAATCAAAGGGACTTCAAGAAGCGAGTTTGCTTTGAATTTGAAAGAAAAAAGAGGAGAAGTTTTGCTTGTTTTTTGCTAAGAATAAGCTAAGAATAAGCTAAGATTAAACTAAGATTAAGCTAAGATTAAGCTAACATTTAGCAATTGCTAATAGTTTTTGGTTAAAAAAAGTTAAGTAGACTTGAAAAAAGCAATGATTTCTTTCATTCAATGATTGATGAAGTTTCTTTAAAAGATAGAGAAATTGGAAGATCGGAATAGAGAAATTGGAAACGTTTTGGCAGCTCTGCAAATCAAATCGAATCTTTAGAAATGGGAAATGGGAAAAGCTGTCAAATGGATTCCCAGAAAAGAGCTCAATCGTTTTCTTTTTTCACGGATCGGCCCGAGATGCCGAGAGGTTTTTCGATCAACGTACTTCATTCGGAGGATTTTCGGCAATATGATCGCTATTTTTGAAGTGTTTGGCTTGGATTGACAAGAATTTCTGGGATCTGGGACAGACCAGGGCCAGTCTCCAAATACTTGGGACAGACCAGGGCCAGTCTCCTAATACTTGGGACAGACCAGGGCCAGTCTCCTAATACTTGGGACAGACCAGGGCCAGTCTCCAAATACTTGGGACAGACCAGGGCCAGTCTCCTAATACTTGGGACAGACCAGGGCCAGTCTCCAAATACTTGGGACAGACCAGGGCCAGTCTCCTAATACTTGGGACAGACCAGGGCCAGTCTCCAAATACTTGGGACAGACCAGGGCCAGTCTCCAAATACTTGGGACAGACCAGGGCCAGTCTCCTAATACTTGGGACAGACCAGGGCCAGTCTCCTAATACTTGGGACAGACCAGGGCCAGTCTCCTAATACTTGGGACAGACCAGGGCCAGTCTCCTAATACTTGGGACAGACCAGGGTCAGATCTGGGACAGACCAGAGACAGACCTGGGACAGACCAGGGACAGACCAGGGGCAGACCAGGGTCAGTCTTCTAATACTAATAGCATGCACTGCATAGGATTAGGGGATTAAATGCCTTGCACGAAGTGTTTCTTCTTAAAACACTTTGTGCAACACATCCAATCCTGGCAGTACATGCTACACAGTATTACGCCTTTCACCCAAAGGAGACTGGCCCTGGTCTGAGCCAGGTCTGACTCAGGTCTGTCCCAGGGCCGACCCAAACTGACCTAGACCAAGTTTGGCTCTAGCTCCCTCCAGACCAGAGCCAGTTTAGTTTCCTTTGGGAATGGGATTTTACTACATGTGGCTCTGATTTGGCTCTGATTTGGCCTGGTTTGGCAGTTTTTAGTTTAGAAAAGCCCTGAAAAGTAAAAATCCACCCAGGTTTGATAGCCAAGCAATTTTTGATTGACCATTTTTATCAGAACAAAAATTTATTTTCCGAAAAGTTTGGAGACAGAGACTGCTTGGAGACTGCTTTTTCACTTTACAGAGGCTCATTCGGAAATACTAGAAGAAGCTCTAGAAGTTCTAGCTCTAGAAGTTCTAGTTCTAGAAGTTCTAGTTCTAGAAGTTCTAGCTCTAGAAGTTCTAGCTCTAGAAGTTCTAGCTCTAGAAGAAATACTATACTAGAAGTAATTGAAGTAAAGTGGAGAAGGGCCCGAGATACCGAGAGTTTTTCGATCAACGTACTTCATTCGGAGGATTTGCGGCAATGTAATAGCTATTTTTGAAGTGTTTGGCTTGGATTAACAAGATCGTGTTGGAAAGCAGCTTTAAGCAGCTTTTGTCTAGAGATATTTGAACAGTTTTTACTTACAAATTCTCCTGGAAATGCCGAATTCATCATTACTAGAAAAAACGAAAAATTTCGAGTCAACCGGATCTGGATTAAGGGCTTAACGGATTTTTAATGACTACCTTTTGACACTTCTATCTCTCCTCAATCTATCTCTTATGATGAAACGCCAATGCCAAAATGTTCAGCCGACGCTTTGATCGAAACGTTCTTGTCCATCTTTGCAGCCGCAAGTCTTGTTTGTATCTCAATAGCTTTCCTTTGCTTTTCTTTTTATCCCTCCTTTTTCTGTGCATAGTTTCGCTATGGACAGAGTTCTCGTTCTTCCGTATCGACGTTAAAATGCTTCCCTTGAAAATGTCGGTCGAGCGCGTCGTTGCCTTGCCTCGTCGCATTCGGAACAACTCTAACTCTAGCTCGTTTTCTTGTCGCATTCGAAGCAACTCTGACTCTAGGGCCTCGCCTCGTCGCATTCGAAACAACTCTAACTCTAGCTCGTTTTCTTGTAGCATTCGAAGCAACTCTAACTCTAGCTCTAACCCTTTTTCTGTTCATAGTTTCGCTATGGACAGAAATGGAGAACTCTTCTCGTTCTTCCGGATCGACGTTACAATGCTCCCCTTGAAATTGGATTGAATGATTCAAAAAAAGAATACTAAAGTCGATTCTAAAGTCGATTCTAAAGTCAATTCAAAACTCCAATACCCTAGAAGAGATGTGTTTAGTCAATAGAAAAGACATCAAAGATCCATCAATCAAATCAAAAACAAAGATGAAAGATGAAAGATTCGATCAAAGATAGAAAATATTCGATAATTAAAGCAATCATTCGGTAACTCATTCACTTTTTGGCCAAAAAATACACCTAAAGTCAAGGCTAACTTTCAGCTAAAGTACAAGTTGATCAAGTTTGAGAAAAAACTGTTTCCCGCTTTTCTCCGATCAACTCTTCCGATCATTTGACTGATTTTAGCGTTAAAAAGAGGCTTACGACAAGTGCCAAAGTACTCAGAGAAAGCTTTTCGACTGAATCATGTCTATTTTCTTTTTTTTTCTCTTTTTGATTCAACAGAATTCTTCTGAAATTCTTGAGAAATTTGCTCGTCTTTCGCCTTTTCTTTATGCTTTTCTTGAGTACCCTCATTGGTATTTATTTATTGACAAACACCGATTGAATGAAATGAATTCACGTGAATTGATTGACGAAGGGTGAATAGTGTTTGGGGATTTTAGTTTTAAAGGTTTTAAAGGTTTTAAAGCTTTAAGTTTAAAGGTTTTAAAGCTTTAAGTTTAAAGGTTTTAAAGCTTTTAAAGCCTTAAGCTTTAAGCTTTAAAGGTTTTAAAGCTTTAAGTTTAAAGGTTTTAAAGCTTTAAGTTTAAAGGTTTTAAAGCTTTAAGTTTAAAGGTTTTAAAGCTTTAAAGCTTTTAAAGCTTTAAGTTTAAAGTTTTAAAGGTTTTAAAGCTTTTAAAGCCTTAAGCTTAAAGCTTTAAAGGTTTTAAAGCTTTAAGTTTAAAGATTTAAAGCTTGAAGTTTAAAGGCTTTAAAGTTTTAAAGCTTTAAGTTTAAAGATTTAAAGCTTTAAGTTTAAAGATTTAAAGCTTTAAGTTTAAAGGTTTTAAAGCTTTTAAAGCCTTAAGCTTTAAGCTTTAAAGGTTTTAAAGCCTTAAGCTTAAAGCTTTAAAGGTTTTAACGCTTTTAAAACTTTCAGTTTTAAAATTTTGCTCAAACTTTTGTTCTTAAAGGTCATTCAGAGCCCATTTTGCCATTATGCAAAAAGATTTTGATTTATTTAACTGATTTAACCTCAAAAAGCTGATCACTCTTCTTTCCTTGGCCTTAGATTAGTTATTTAATCTATTCAAATCCAAATTTTGCTAACATTTTTCAAGATTGGTAAGTAAAAGTCAATCAAATGAACAATTTTTGACCACTTTTTTTGTAGATCTGCTTAGAAATGACCATCTCATCAATTGATTTACGGTTTCTTTTATATAGAAAATGTTTATCATTCACTTTTCTATCATTTCAAGCCAATTTTGGTCTCTTTCCATGCAAATTCAAATACAAAAGCTAGTTTTTCGCAAAGAAATTCGTTAAAAAAGCCTACAAAGACATTGGCTAAGCAAATTTTTCTGCAAATTTGGCTATATATCAAACGCTTTGTGGTCTTTCTTTTTTCTATTGATACGAAGATACGTTTCTTTGAATGAAAATGTCTAAATTGTATCTAGAAACGAAAGTTTCTGTAGACTAAAGTGCGTAAATCGCTTTTTCATCGCTTTTTGATCGCTTTGTGCCCCAAAAACCAAAAACAAAACCTTTTAGCAATATTTTAACAATCTTTTGTAGAAAAAGAAATGATCTTTATCATAAAGCGGATCGTTTAATTGGTAAATAGATTAGTTTTAAATAGATAAAACAAAAAAAATGTGGTTAAGGTTGAATTTGCTGATAAAGATCTTTATAGCTTGATGAGTTATCAAGATATAAAGATAATAAAAGACTAAAAAGATCAAAAAGATCAAAAAGATCAAAAAGATTAAAAAGATTAAATTATTATATAGTCAAACCTCGATTTAACGATTCTTCATCGTTAAATCGAACGTCTTTATAAGGTATAGCTTCATGGAAACCAAAAATTGACATTAAACCGAGAGAATTGTTAAATCGAGAGTCGTTAAATTGAGGTTTAACTGTAGCTTTCAGCTTTCAGCTTTTTAGCTTTCAGCCTTTTAGCTTTTTAGCTTTCAAAGAACTAACCCTCTACTCAAATTCAACGATCCGTAGATCTTCTCCGATGGAGCGTAAAAGACTGATGATGGAGCATGTTTGCTGATCTCGTGCCTGGAAAAGGAAATCGATTATCGAAGTAGATACACTTTTCAGAGTAACTAGAAGTTCTAGTTACTCTGAAAGTCCTGCTAGTTCTGCTTCAATTTCAATCTAATTTTTGATATCTTTGACTTTTCAGCCACTCACCGACAAACCGAGCACACATTGCTCCCACGGACGGTTGGCACAAAAAGAGAACAGCTGGCCATTTACCTAGAATACCGAAATATGGAAAAATTTATCCAAGAATGAACTTAGACTTGAATGTTAATGCTTTAGCCTTAAGCTTTTGTGTTGAGCCTTTGTCTTAAGCTTTTGTCTTAAGCTTTTGTCTTAAGTTAGCCATTAAGATTGCTATTTTATCTAAACAATCAACGTTGAATGAACTTAGGCTTGAATGTTAACGCTTTAGTCTTAAGCTTTTGCCTTAAGCTTTAGCCTTAAGCCTTTGCCTTAAGCTTTAACCTTAAGCTTTTGTCTTAAGCTTTTGTCTTAAGCCTTTGTCTTAAGCCTTTGTCTTAAGCTTTCGCCTTAAGCTTTAGCCTTAAGCTTTTGTCTTAAGCTTTAGCCTTAAGCCTTTGTCTTAAGCCTTTGTCTTAAGCTTTAGCCTTAAGCCTTTGTCTTAAGCTTTAACCTTAAGCTTTTGTCTTAAGCTTTTGTCTTAAGCCTTTGTCTTAAGCTTTAGCCTTAAACTTTAGCCTTAAGCTTTTGTCTTAAGCTTTAGCCTTAAGCCTTTGTCTTAAGCCTTTGTCTTAAGCTTTAGCCTTAAGCCTTTGTCTTAAGCCTTTGTCTTAAGCTTTAGCCTTAAGCCTTTGTCTTAAGCCTTTGTCTTAAGCTTTAGCCTTAAGCTTTTGTGTTGAGCCTTTGTCTTAAGCCTTTGTCTTAAGCTTTCGCCTTAAACCTCTAGCTTAAGTTAGCCATTACGATTGCTAAAAAATCAACGTTTATGTTAATCCATAACAATCCAGAATTCAGATTTTTACCTTTTAAACTTAAAGTTGCTTAGGTAGATTTAAAAGGAACTCAATTGTAAAAGAAAAAACTGATCCCGATCTTCAAAAAACAAGAAAATGTAAGGAAATGTAAGGAAATGTAAGGAAATGTAAGGAAATGAGAATTACAGAATGGTCAGTCTTATTCTTCTCCTCAAACAACACGAGATGAATCGGCCAATGAAAGGAATTATTGTGCACAAAGGGAAATCGGTGAGGAATAAGAAGCGGAAAGATGAAAAAGAATGGAAAGATGAAAAAGAATGGAAAAAGAATGGAAAAAGAAGGAAAAAGAGGAATCGGACAAGTTTGCCTAGACGATTTTCATCAGAAATGGGGGAAATTGTGAGAAGCGAAAGCGGAAAAGCGGTGATTTCCCTTATCGATTATGGCTTGTAAAGAACAAGAACAATTTTCAAAGCTAGTTACCTTGAAAAGTCGAAAGGTTAACGAATTTACATGCAAAAATGCAAATGTTTCTTGTTATTAGGTAACGAAAAAGTCAAGTAAAACCGGAAAAAAAAGGAAAAATGGGTATGCACTTGAAAATCGACAAAATTTACCGAAAAACAAAGCTCTTTTTTCATTTGAATCTTAGCAAATCGATTGAGAACTTCTTGAATTTTGAATTTAAGGATTTTCAGGAAAGCAATGCATAGCAGTGCAAAGCTACGTTTAGATCCAATAGTCTGGTCGAGTCTGGTCGACTTTGGTCGAGTTTGGTCGAGTCTGGTCGACTTTGGTCGAGTCTGGTCGAGTTTGGTCGACTTTGGTCAAGCCTGGTCGACTTTGGTCAAGTCTGGTCGAGTTTGGTCGACTTTGGTCGAGTCTGGTCGACTTTGGTCGACTGTGGTCAAGTCTGGTCGAGTTTGGTCAAGTCTGGTCGACTTTGGTCGAGTTTGGTCAAGTCTGGTCGAGTCTGGTCGCTTTGGTCAAGTCTGGTCTGGTCGACTTTGGTCGACTGTGGTCAAGTCTGGTCGAGTTTGCTCGAGTCTGGTCGACTCTGGTCAAGTCTGGTCGACTCTGGTCAAGTCTGGTCGACTCTGGTCAAGTCTGGTCGAGTTTGGTCTTGTCTGGTCGGCTTTGGTCAAGTCTGGTCGACTTTGGTCGAGTCTGGTCGAGTCTGGTCGACTTTGGTCGAGTCTGGTCGACTTTGGTCAAGTCTGGTCGACTTTGGCCAAGTCTGGTCGAGTCTGGTCGACTTTGATCGACTTTGGTCGACTCTGGGGTAAACATAGAAGATTTCAAGTCAAACCTAGTTCCACCATCGTTTTCCTGATCGATTCTTGACTAATTACTCTGAAATTTTCTATTTGTAGACAAAATTTCAGAGTAATTAGTCAAGAATCAGCTAAGAATCGGCCGAGAATCAGCTAAGAATCGGCTAAGAATCAGCGAAGAATTGACCAAGAAGCGGTCAAGCAACGGTCAGGAATTGGCCAAGAATCAGCCAAGATTTGACTAAGAATTGGTCAAGAATCAACCAAGAATCGACCAGGAATTAGCCAAGAATCGGCTAAGAATCAGCTAAGAATCGGTCAAGAATCGATCAGGAATTAGCCAAGAATCAGCCAAGAATCAGTCAAGAATCGGTCAAGAATCAACCAAGAAACGATCAAGAATCGACTAATTCTTGGTCAAGAATCAACCAAGAAAACGAAGATGGAATTAGATTCGTCTTAGAATTTTGTGGTCAATCTGGAGTCAATTTAAGAACAATTCTTGTGCTTATCAACAAATTCGATTCTGTTAACAACAGCTAATTTTTTTAAGTTTTCAAGTTTAGACCACTGCTTTGACATTATGCAAAAAGTTCAGTTCACAAAAGTTTAGCCGATAAGATCACAGAAGTTTATCATTAATTAAGCCATTTTTTAAAGCGGGAATGAGTTTCAAAAAGTTCAGAACAATTAGAGGAGTACAAAATTGCTTTCAATCCAAAGATATCGATTAGTTTATTCTAGAAGTTTACCCTAGAAGTTTATCCTAGAAAAAGCATATAAAAGCTTATCGATTGAATAGTGTTCAAAGGATTTCGTTTAGCAGAAAGTGGGAAAGTTCATCGACTTGTGGTGTGGGGCCACTTCTCGTTGAACCCTTCACGATGAATGGGTGAAAGAAAGAAAGATGGTGATAGGCAGAAAAGAAAGAAAAAGAGGTGATCCGGTTGTCGACCCATTGATTCCACTTTTCTCATCTTATCTCTGAGGTTTGCCTAGCGGTTTTGCTGATTTGATGTGAATTTTGAACCTTCAACGTACAAATCAGAAAGTTTATTGGATTCAAAGACTGTTTTAAAGGCTGTGATAAAGTTTGTAAGCTTGAACAAAGGGTCAGACAAACCCAGATTGTAAGCTTCAGGAAAAGACAACCCTAGATTTTAAGCTTCAGGATCAGACAAACCAAGATTGTAAGCAACAGGATCAGACAAACCAAGATTGTAAGTATCAGGATCAGACAACCCTAGATTTTAAGCTTCAGGATCAGACAAACCAAGATTTTAAGCTTCAGGATCAGACAAACCAAGATTGTAAGCAACAGGATCAGACAAACCCAGATTGTGCAAAGGTCAGACCCAATTTTCAGGATCAGACAACCCTAGATTTTAAGCTTCAGGATCAGACAAACCCAGATTACAAGCTTCAGGATCAGACAAACCAAGATTGTAAGCTTCAGGAGCAGACAAACCTAGATTGTAAGCTTCAGGATCAGAAAAACCCAGATCAGGCAAGATTAAGCCATCCAAAGTCAAGCTTAGCATCTGATTTCTCGTCTAATTCTGGTAAAAATATTAGAAAACTCTGTCAAACAAGTCAGCAACAAGTAATTTGATAAGTAAGATACAACTTAATCTTAATCGAATAGAGAACGGAATAATGAATCGATTAGAGAATAGAGAATCAAATAAGGACAAGTTATTAAGTTATTAGAATACAGTAGAAGAAGAATTTCATTGAAAGTTGTAGGGTAAAAGATTCTCCAACGATTGTTCTCTGTTTTCTAATTGTTTTAAAGAATTTTTTCTGATTAAGCCATGAAAATTTGGGGTCTAAACAGAAAAAGCTTCTTTCTTGAGCCTAAAAAGAAAAAGAAAACTTCAGCTGAGTAATTTCTGATAGATTTCTTGTGAATACGCAAGAAAATGATTTAATCTTTAGACAAAAAGAGCTTTAAATCATAAAAGAAAGTAATGGAATGGGGGGAAAGAGAAATATGAATCTAAAGGTGTTATATCAGAGATCCGGTTGGTCGAAGATGGAAAAGAAGGAATGGTTGTGCCTATGATCGGGTCCATGACCGTCTCTTCTTTCCTTTCTTTCCTTTCTTTCCTTTCTTTCCTTTCCTTTCTTTCTTTCCTTTCTTTCCTTTCTTTCCTTTCTTTCCTTTCTTTCCTTTCCTTTCTTTCTTTCCTTTCTTTCCTTTCTTTCCTTCTTTCCAATTCCACTTCCCAACACCCTTCAATAGACGCATAGCCTCTTTTTATGAAAGAAAAGAGAAAACACAACAAAAAGATGCAAGAGAATCGGCAAGTGCATAGAGAATGCGTCACGGTGAACACGTTTAGTAAATTTTGGCTAGTTTTACTTGTAAGGGGAAGTTAGATTAGATATGTAGACTTTTAGAAATCGTCCAGCAATCATTTAGCACAAGAGAGGATCGTTCTTTTTGAAAATCTGAGTCTTTTCATGTCTTTGTGAAAAGCTATCCGATACAAAACTCAAAGCCAATTTTATTCTCTTGGGACTTTTCTTGGAAAATTTAATGTAAATGAGTGACGAAATGCTCACGTAATCGCTTGCGATCTGGCAAAGGACTTTGGTATAAGAAGATTCTCGTTTGGAATGGTCTGTAAACGGTAAAGAAATGGTGAAAAGTTTTGACAAGGGCCACCTCAGCTATAAAAGAGCGTTTTGCCAATAGGCAGCAAAGGTAGCGATGGCCTAGGGCTAGATAGCGATGGCCTTGTGCTAGATTCTAAAACGAATGTCATTTTTGCTTTCGAGGGTTCGATTCCGCTTGCAGCTAAATTCGAAGTTAGGCGGTTTTTTCGCTTTTTACTTCATCCAAATTTAGCCGAATTGATTTTAAACCGTTTTTCGCAAGAGAATCGAATTCCGAAAGAGTCGAATGTCCCAAGAGCATCGAAATCGGGTTTTATGATAGCTTTTCACAATGTAAAGGTTCGATTTTCTGAGGAAAACCGAAGAAATCTTAAC